ATCGATTGCTCCTCTCTTACCTATTGCCTGTTGCCCACCTGCGGGCCCCACCCTCCCCCATGACCACCAGGCGACGATCGGTACGATCTGGGTTTGGCTATCAAGACGCCGTCCAAGGAAGTCTGCGTGCCGGGTTTCAGCCAGCCGACGGAGGACGGCAACGGCTGGACCTATTCGGCGGCCGTAATAAACATCCTGCAGGAGTACCGGAAGAATTTTCCCGCGCTCTGGGCGACACTTTCAAAATCGGAGGGTGATGGCGCAGGCAAGTGCAGCAGAAGCGAAGGCCGGTGATGCTGCTCCCGGTGGTAGCAAAGCGATAAGTTGGTGGCTTCGCCTCGCTTGCTGCCAACCGGGCGACACTACTTCGCTTTGTACAATGGCCGCATGATGTAGCAATAGCATACTCACAACGCAGCGATCTATTCCAAGCTCCCTTTTAGTCCAGCCAAGGCATCTTGGCAGGTGCGATTGTTTGGAGCTGTTCTTTAGGTGTCGTTCCAGTCTCGCCTTATAATGGCACCACCAGGTACCATCCTGGTATAATCCCGACACCCTCTTTCACGCGACACCCAGGCGACCTAAGGCTGGACCAGGTTTTTCCCGGACTGACACCGGCGGCGCGCAAGGCCAAGGTGCGTGAGGTTACGGACTGGATTAAGTCCACTCCTCTGGCAAAGCGGCCGCTGGTCAAGGTGGGCACCAATGTTTTGTCGGACGAGGGGGTCAAGGCGCTGCATGCTATCGTCACGCCGACGCCCGCACGGCCGCCACCGACGGTCGAGTACGAGAACGTCCCGCCGTTGCTGCTGCTTCCTCCCTATACTCCTGGCGCAGACCAGGTGCGACGCGACTAGGCGAATTCAAGCAGCTTCAGCTTTTGCAGCAGCTGATCAATTTGACAGTCATATAAAGCCGGAGTTGTATTTTAGGTCCTCGCGAATGCGGGTACGAGGCATAAGAAGCTTCCTCCTGACGTGGGAGAACGCAATCCCGAGGGCCACTCGGGTGCTGAAGGGTAAAATATGACGTCATTCCCGGTCGGTTTCCATGTCGCAGGTGAAGCTGTCGGTGCAGGGAGGCTCCTTCCAGCTGGGCGACCGGGTGGTGTGTGTCAGTGGCAAAGGCAACCCCCCTTACGGCCTTCGCGGTACAGTCATTGGTAAGCTGACGCAGCGCGTAACGACACTTGCTGCCATACCCAGTGGCTCCGTCTGTTTGCGAGGCAGTAGGTGTGTTTACGAGCCACATCTTACCTGAACACTGCAGGCGTTTACGAGGAGGCATGTGAGGTGCTATTTGATGAGGATTTCGGGGGTGGCAGCAACCTGAATGGCCGCGTTAATGGCAAATGCGGCGCGTTCGTGCCGCTGGACCTGCTGCTTTGTGTCAACAAACCGATTGAGATTTCCTTGGCTAAGCACCAGGTACCTCGCCAGAGCAACAGCAAGCAGGCCGCAGCTACGCCTGCAACCGCCGGGACGGGGCCCTCCAACACATCACCAGGAACTCGAGGCGACCAGGGTGCAGCTGCGGCCAAGCAGGCGGCGGATCAAGCAGTATTGGCGGCGCAGAGGGCCAAGCAGCCACCAGCAGCAGCTGCTGCCGGGGCATCAGCCTGCGTGCCAGCTTCGGTGGCCGTCACGGCCCCCGTCGTGCCACCTACTCCATCCACTAAGCTGCTGTCCGCGGCGATGCGCGCTGCAGGTCTAGCCAAGTCGGATGCGCAACCGCAGCCGCAAGTCGACTCTGCCTCCGCAGTGGCCGGAGGAGAAAGCCTGCAACGCAAGGCCTCAGCACAAGCCAATAGCAGCGGGCAGGCGTCGTCGCCACCTGGGCAGGCTGATGTAGCCGTGAGCGCAGCGGCTGCGGCAAGTGCAGCTGCGGTTGCGGTTCAGGCATCACCGGGGGGGTCCCTCGCCCAGTTGAAAAGGCTCGTGCCCAATGCGCGTGTGGGCTCGCCTGATGCAGTAAGCCAGGGAATCCAAGCGCCTGCAGCAGCCGCAGCGCTGCCGCCTCGCCCATGTCAGGACGCGGCACCGGCTGTTGCTCCACAGCAATCGGTTCTGTCACAGTTCTCCCCGCAGCCGTATCCACCTCATCCCGTGTTAATCCAGGGAGGTGCGATGCCGCCGCCCCAACCTCCACATCTGCCACAGCCAATGGTCACTTTCCAACCACGGGCTCCCTACATGGCAGGCGCTCCACAACAGCGGCCGCCTGCCTTCTTCCCAATGCATGTGCCTACCCCGACCGCGATGGGTATGCTGGTCCCAGGGCCCTTCCCGGGCGGCGCGAAACCCCCCCCGCACACGGGTCCCATGATGGGCCCAATGGTCCTGGGTCATCACCACGTGCCTTTTGCAATGTCACCGGCGCAGCACCAGGCGGCATTTACCCAGCCATTCGGACCTCGACAGGGGCATCTGCAAGAGCAGAGGCAGTGGCAGCAGCCGGCCTCGCAAGGACCCTATAACAACGCAGGGCAGCCGGCGCTGCCTTCGGGGCAGGTTCAAGGCAGGATGCCCGTCACTGCATTTCCTAACGGTGCAGCTACAGGCCCGGCGGTCACGGTGCCGAAGTCCCATCCCATCGACATTGATAACCCGCACAGCGTGGACGACACTGACGACAGTGCCTCCGGATCAACTCGCAAGAACACAGAGGGTTCTACCACCAAAGGAGTGACCGGGGCATCCGCAGCTCGTGTTACGGCTGTCGGACAGCATCCAGGAGACAATACCGCCGTGCAACGGAAGTTGGGCGGTCATATGGCACCGAACGGCAGCGGCGTGGAAGAGGAGGGGCGCATTGGAGGCGGGGGAGCTGGGCTCGGCAAGAGCGCACGGTTACCTGATGCTTCAGGGCGCGGCTTCCGTGGACGGGGTCGACCGGTGCCTGGGTCGAGCATGGCAGAGCCCTTAGCACCTGGAAGCCTGGCACCGGGGGTTCAATCCCCGGAGGCGCCTGCGCAGGTGCTTACCGCACGGCACTCACTGGACTGTGCTCAGGCCGGCCAGGTTCTACTGCGGTCCCTACAGGCCTCGGCCGCGGCTGCTGGAGATAAGCGCAATGCTGCGTCTCCGGGCACTTGTCCAATGGCTGCGCAGCTGCCACCGAACCCGGGTGCGGCTCTTCTCCGGATGCTGCAGGGGGGAGGTGAGGTCAGTGACAACGCCGATGTAGCCATCAAGGCTCAGTCGCTTGATAGCAGCACGGAATTACTGCGTGCGCTGCAACGGTCGTAAGCGCTCGTGAGTGGGGAGTGAATTGCGCTCGTATTGTGGATTCCTGTCATTGGGCAGTTTGCGATATCGGTTCATCATATTAAAATAGCAAGATCCAAGGCTGCGGTCTTTTGGCGAATGCCATTTGCCCCGCCAAATTATCCAAGCTGTCTACTCAATGGGATGGTATCTGCATACAATTGCGTCGTGATGAGTGTAGTAGCCTGAACTGGTGCGTTTGTGGCCGCCGTCCAGCCTGCCTCGTGGGTTTCTATCAGAGGAACCATATACCCTAATACAGAACAGGATGCGACGCTAATGATACGTTGCTACTCGAAACGCTATATCCGCAGAACGTCTACCGTCATTTCCGGGGCCTTAAGGATGACTTTGCAGGACAGCGGTGCGTGTGGGCTTGACGGGTATATTCACCCGTCCCGTGCACGCATTGCCCCAGTTAGTTGTGCTTGAGGAACCGTTCGCTGTTCTACGCGCATCTGCGCGGCATTTTTGCCTGCATGCCTGCAACTATACCTCGTTTGCACGTGGCTATGTTGACTGTGGTGTCGTGGTGAGTCGCAACTCGCATGAACAGCGGTTTGACTGCACAGGCTGTTTTGTTGTGAGCGATGTTGACGGTTGGCTGGGCGGCTGCGGGCACCGCTGTGGCGTCGTTCGAGCAAGGAAATGTAACAGAGCGCTTTTGACCGCAGTGCTGTTTGCACGTCTTTACGTTGGCTTGTCTTATGTTATTTGGACGAAAATTGACCGTGTGTTTGCATGCTGAAGGACCGTGTGAAAATTGACCGAATTTTTGCATGTTGGGAGCGGGAATGCGTTGGCAGGATAGCTGATGAAGGTTAGCGTGTGTTGATTGTGCAAACCCCTGCCTACGCTGTTTCATTAAGTACTTTAGCGCGCACTTGCAGAATCTCCTTCCTGAAATTGATTTCCCGTATGCCGGACACGGTAGCATTTATGCATTCTATATCAAGGGCGCCGATGGGGTTGCGCTTTTCATGACAGCATTCCTAACAGGCATCTATGCAATCGCGACATCATAAATGACGGTGCCTCTGGATGTTGTGGGTGGTGTTAGGCATGCAGGTCCTAGCAATTTGTCAAGTTGTTGATCTTGGAATGCCTATTATGCAAGACGCATACGATGCTGGTATTCGTTGTGTAAGGATAAGGGTTGATATCAGGAATGTGCGAAGGCTGTTTATGCATGGGAAAAAAGAGCGATACTTTGGCACCCCTCCTGTCCGTGATACGCACGCGGAATCACTCTCACTTTCACGATCCTGCAGTAGTTCCGTCCACAAACGTCAAAAAACCGAGCGTTATCAATATCACAAGCCCTCCGCTGCAGAACCTTTCTGTCCACATACTGCAAGCAAAAACCTCCAGCATCAGGTTTCAGTCAGAAATTCTGTCTGTGCACCTATGGCACACCGCGACGTGGCCGTGCACGTATTGCCAGACCGCTAAGATGAGCACGCTCGATTTTGCACCATGACTGTAATGGCGCTCAGACCTAGGCAGATCCAGATGATAACCTGAACCGAACCCCGTCATCCGGCGAACCAGGTGGCCAAAAGCGACAGTCCTAGAACACCACGTGTGCACGCTTCATGCATTTCATGCAATTCTCGACCATTGCCACCGACCGACAACGCTGCTAATCCGGTAGTAAACGCGCATCATCACGTTCATCAAGGGAAATCGTTTGTAGCATCCAGTACAATAAGGCCATTCATTAGCGAAAGCCACTCACAGGCCGTTCACGGCCTTCAGGGCTGCAAACATGGCGTCGAAGTCAGCGAGGTCATCGTCGTCGTCTTTGGCAGGTAGACATGCCATGTTCGCCTGTCCAGGGTCGCCCATTGGCGGCTTCCGTGTTGCATCTTTGTTTTCATCCTTCCCGTACACAGCTGCATCCGCACCCTGAACCGCATTGCAGTCCCCTGGGTCGCGGCCTTCTCCCGGGGGCCTGGCTCGGGTTTGACCGTCCGCAGGATCTGCAACTTTGTCGACAGCCTGATGGAGCCCTGCCTCCACCTCTTCCGTCTTCATTCCCCAACTTGGATTAAAATCAGCCGCAGGGCGCCGACGCCGCGGGTGCTTCCCATCCGCCGCCTCAACTGCAGCTGCTGCGACCTGCAGTTCCACACCCGTGGTCACGAGCTGTTCCCCTCCAGTAACGCCCGTGGCCACGCGACCCATCGTAGCATCGTCCTGTCGCCCGCACTCGACACCGCAGGCGCGGCGCTTGCGCGGCTTAGGAAGCTTCACCTCAGCTTCTCGGCCAGCTTCAGGCTTGGCGCGCTCTCTCTGCTGCTGCTGTTGCTGCTGCTGTTGCTGCTGCTGACGTCGCGCGGCTGGAGCTGCCCGAGGCGGTAGAGGCGGACGAGCCGTGAGGCGGCGGCTAGCTGCTGGAACGGCCCCCAGGATCGAGGTTCCGTTATTTGCGGCCACCGGCTCCGCAGCAAACGCCGCAGCTGGCGGAACCAGCGCTGTTAGGGCGCGCGGCCGTTGCTGGGTTGCAGTGTCAAGAGGCTGAGGCGGCAACCGCATTCGCTGCAGCATCTCCAAGGCCTCTCGCTGCGCCCGCAGAGCGAGCTGCGTCTGCCGAATGAGCTCCGCATCAGCCTGGCCGAGCTCCTCCAGCAGGTCGTCGAAATCCAGCTGACTGCCCTGACCGCCAGCACCGCCGAACTTGCCAGCGTCAGCCTCAGCCTCGGTCTCGGGCTTCACTACTCCCGCAGCACCAACCCCGCAGGCGCCTCGGGGACCGTTTGCGAGCGCCGCCCCTACACGGGTTCTTGCAGCTGTGGTGCCATAGGAGTCGTCATCGGCATCCCGCCCCTGAGCCACATGTGATCCCCGCGCGCGCTTCCTTTGCGGCAGCCCTGCCGCGTCTTGACTGGGTTTGAGATCGATTGCCAGCCCATCCTGACTGGGAGCCTCGGCCCCTCCCGCCGCGTTACACCGGGGGCCGAGCCCTCCCTCCTCCTGATATCCTTCGGACCCGGCAGCATCACCGATCCCATCCTCGTCGTCCTCTTCCTCCGTGGTGTCGACATGAGCAGCTGAGCGCGAGCGCTTGCCCAATCGCCCACCGCGGCCCCCGCCGCGACCACGGCCCCGCGCGCGGGGGGATCTCGATGGCCCGGGCTGCCTCCCGCCGCGGCCCTGACCTCGCCCTCCACCCGGAGGTGCCCCGGGATCCCCGACTGCTGCTGCTGCTGCTGATACTCGTCGGCCTAACAGAAGCCCGTTGCGGCGCAGGAACGCCTCCAGGGAGGGCCGTCGTACTGCCTCAGTGCCCCGACTTATCTCCTCCTCATCGCACACCACCACCTGAATCAGGGTCTGCCATTTCTTCTCACCGCCCGGGATCCCGCAGTGTTCGGGCCACTGCATGGCCAGGATCTGCTTCGCCTGCGGGGACTGCTGCTGCTCCGCATCGCCGCTGCCGCCGCCCCGCGGGTGACCAGGGCTGCGCCTGATGAGGGCCGCGGCGGCAAAGGCGGCGGCGGTGGCACAGGACTCACAACCGCAACTCACAATGCGGGTGCGCGTGTCCATGACGCCTGAGACGCCCCCACACGTGACGTTGAGGCGCGGGTGGACATCAGCCAGGACGGGCAGCGGGGAGCTGCTCTTAACAGCGCTGCTGGGGGCCTGCTGTCCCTGTCCCCCTGCACCGCCAGAGACGTCGCCGCCAGCACTACCGCCGTCAGCGAACTCGCCGCGACCTCGGCCCCGTCCCTGCACGGCATTCCTTCGACCGCGACCGCGACCGCAAACCCCCCCGGGCGACGGCTCCTGAACCCTGGTGCTGCCTGTGCGAGCTGCTTTATTGTTGTCCACTCCCGCTGCTGCTGCCGCAGCAGCTGCTGTCGCTGCTGCTGCTTTTGCTGGTGACGTTACGTGTTTCTTAGGGGAGGGTGAGTCGACGGCGACCTCCTCCATCTCGGCAAAGGCCGCTTCCAGCTCCGCATCCACATCGAAATCGTCGTCTGCGTCGTCGTCCTCACCAGCAGTGATGTTGGCATCCACACCGCTCGGCAGCGACGGCCCCGGAATCCCGGGACCGCCTTCGCCCCTACCCGCCATCACCACCTGCCCCACCGTCCGCCCTCCGCGTTGTAACAGGTCGCCTGAATCCGATGTGGTGCCACCGCGGACGTACGACCCGTAAACCCCAGCCGCCGTCCCCGCACCAGGTCCCCGTGCGGGGTCCGTGTCCGCTCTTTGTCGCCGAGGCAACAGCTGCTGCTGTTGCGGTTGCTGCTGTTGCTGGGTTGAAGGCGGCCGTGGCCGCTGCTCCTCCTCCGTGTCGCCCCGCTCTGCGCCCATCAGTCGGTCGTGGCGGGTGAGCCAGGTGTCCGCCACGTCCTGCACCCGCTGCCGCCGCGCCTCCTCAGCCTGCAGCACGCGGGGGGGTACCCCCGGGGGGGCGGCGCCCCGCGACCCCTCCCCGCTCAGCAGCCCGGCAGATGCCAACTCGCTCCTGAGGGGCGACACAACCATTAGCGACCACAGCGCCATTGGGGAGGGAGGGCAAACACTTCGTGGCACCGGTGCTACAGTGCGGCATAGCTAAGTCACAGTACAGCGCGGGTGGTGATGCCCCCCATGATGCATTGTTCAAGTACAACGCCCTCCCTGTCACCCCCCCCCCTCGACACATGTAGTGCGGGTAGACACAAGGGTCGATCCAAGCTGTGTCCATGAGCCTACAGGGCATTCCTACATGTCTGAGGGGGGACTGTTGCGCCCCTAAGAGTGTGGGCAGCAAACCCACGGTCTGTCTGCAAATCTGTGCCTTCCTGGCAGGCGGTCTACCAGGTGGCGATGTGAGAGAGGGGGTAGGGACGGCTCAGACCTGCGGTGCCCAGGGCCCACAGCTCCAAGAGCCGGTCCCTCCGCAACTGCCCTCCTCCTCTCCTACCCCGCGGTAATCCCCCGCCGCCCTTATGGATACACTCTTCACCTACACCACGTGCCTCTGTAATTTGCTGCCAAACGTTTCCGTTAGTTTGTTACTTCCTCCCGAAGCTGTTGATTAACGGCCCTCCTGCACCTCGCGGCCTATGCCATTCGAGGAGGAACCTGCGCCGCATCCCGGTCCCCCGGCCCCCTCCGCGACCCCACCTGTGGCGGATGACCACCACGCGGCGCTGGCCCGGCCGGCCGCTGCTGACCGGGCCCAGCCACCCCCCCGCACGACCAATACCGCCGCCCCCTCCCAACCCCGCAGCCTCCCCTTCCCCAGGCCGCTGCATGGCGCGCTTCCGCATCAGCGCACCCAGCTCCCCCGCCACGCGCCGACGCGGGGGGGCTGGGGGCCGCGCCGCCACCTGCGCCAGCGCCTCTGCCACCGTGCGCGGGCCTGCAGCTGCCTCCGCCTCCGCACGCGCCGCCTCCTCCGCAGCTCGATGGACCTCCAGCTCGCGCTGCAGCCGCTTCTCCTCAGCGCGGCGGCGGTGCGCCGGCGGCCGCCGCAGCGCCTTAAGCACCTCCGCAAACATAGCCCGAACTCCACGCCGTACATCCCCACCGACACGCGCTTCAAATAGCACATCAGGCAAGCCGCTGCCGCCGCCGTCGTCGGATCTGAAGACCGCCTCCCGCTGCTGGCCGTACAGCTCGCAGAGCATCTGGAAGGACTCCAAGTCCGCGAGGAGGGGCAGGGCCGTACGGAGGTGCAGTAGCGCCTGGCGCAGGACGGGGTTGGACACGAGGACCTCGTAGAAGGTGGCCTCGCGGGTGCGGAAGGGATCCAGCCGCTGACCGGCGACCCAGCGACCCGCGGCGATGGCCTGGGCCCGTCCGGCGGCGGCCGCGGCCCCGCTCTCCAGCCTGGGCGGAGTGGTGGCCCCCAGGTAGCGAGCCACACCACCCGGCACCAGAGCCCCCCCGCGCCAGAGCTCCTGGAACAGCGCGATGGGGGTGCGGGGAGGGGAGGGGGGGATGAAGAAGTGAAGAGGATGTCGGAAAGACTACCTACCTACGCCGCCAGAACTAAAACTGGGGGGTGGGGGGGGAGAGCACAACTCCCTGGTTGCGCTCCCCCCTCCCCTTCCCCCCCTCCCCTTCCCCCCCTCCCCTTCCCCCCCTCCACCGGGACCCCTGCCCGCCCAGGGCTGCTGGTACCCGGTTTGCAGCGCACACATGTACGGCATCCCAATCCTGCCAGCGTCAGCAACCTTCTCCGCCCCCTGCACCCGCACCTACCCCTCCCGCACCACTTCACTCACCCGCACAACAGCCACCACGTCCCTTAGTCCAGCAGCTGCCGCCTCTCTGACCGTCTCCACCAGACAGCTCAGCAGCGCCAGCGGCAAGTACACCCGTACGGGAGGCTGGCATAGCTGCGTGCCGTACAAGCAGTACACGGCATAGATAGCTCCCACGCGAGCGGACAGCGGTACATCCGGCCCGGGAGGCGGCAGCCCCGCCGGTAGGGTATTTGATACGTGCAGCAGGTTCGCGGCCTCTCGGCCTTCAGCATCCGCGGGCTGGTGGCCAACTGCAGCTACCGGGGTTCCGCCCCCCCCACCCGCACCCGCACCCGCACCCGCACCCGGTACCAACGGACCCACATCTGCATCCACCGCAGTGGCCACCGCTGTCGCTGGGCTCCGGACACCCCCCGGTTCGGGTTCGTCGGCGGGTGCAGCCACGGTGCCCAGCTCCCGCCCTGTCGCAGCCCCGGGGCCATCAGCCGCTGGGCCAACCAGCTCGGCCGCGTGTTGCTGCTGGGCGGAGCGAGGGGTCCACCGCGGGGCGGCACCTGGTACCTCCGGCTGCGCTGCAGGAGGCCGCTGATGCTGCGGTGCGGACTGCGGGTGCAGCAGCGCCAGAGGCAGCGTTGGGAGCTGGAGTATCGCCCCCGGGATACTGCCCTCACACGGCGGTGCCGCAGCGCCCTCGGCGGGGGCTGCACCTCCGCTGGGGGGCCGCCCCGTCGCGACCTGTCCGGACCCGGCAGCAGCAGCGGGCCCCCACGGGGACAGCTCCCCCACCGTGGGGTTCGAGGGCAGGTCTGGACCAGGACCTCTCAAAGGACCTGCGGGGGCTGTGGGGGCTGTGGGCGGCAACGCCGAATGAGGGTGTGGCTGTGGGTGTGGTTCGTCGGAGCCGGCACCAGGCCCGACGGCAGGCCCCGATGTCTCCGGGTGGAGGTCCGAGGAGGGGCTCCAGTGCGGGTGGGCGGCCTGTGCGGGCAGGACGTCCGCGGCAGGACCGGTTCGCCCGCTGCCCAGGTGGGGGGGGTGCGCTCCCGTCCGCTCCTCTGAAGTGCCCGCCACTGCCTTAGCGGGACGCATCAACTGCGCGGCTGCGGGGTGGTTGGTGGGGAGCAAGGGAGGGCGAGTGCGCCGGGTGCGCTCAGGCATCCTTGATCAGGCCGTTTAATGCGATACACTACACTACGATCGGAAAGCCTCATGGGAGAAGGGCGTGTCGGCCAAACACCTGCAACCTGGAAGTGCGGCTCCCGACCCCCCCACCACCACCCCTCGCATGTGAGCTCTGAGGGACTCTGAGGGAGGGATGGGGACACAGTCGGTGGCGGGTCTGAGGGCGGCAGGGCCACATCCTTCCGGGCCACATCCGGCGGGGTGTATAGGCTCCACAGGGCCCACAGGGTCGGGTGCGGACAGCGCGTGTGTGAGCGACCCGGCAGGCTCACAGGACACGGGTGCGGCTGGGGCCGGCTCATCATCGTGGCATTACCCTCCTTAGTCTCCACAATGTTGTGGAAATACAACAGCAAGGCGCACCGTAACCGTAGCAAGGAGACCTGGCAAGCCTCCTTACGTGCACTTGCATAGCAAGCCACCCAGTAACGCTTCTCAACGCTTGTAGGACCCGGACAACCTCCCGCCCCAGTTCCCCCTCCCTCCCTCCCCCCTTACCAGAGGCAGCTGCATCGGAGCGGACCGCGGCGAACCCCCCTGGCGGCTGTTGCTGCGCTGCTGCTGCCGCCGTCACCTCCTCCGGGACCCCCAGCACCGGGTCACCCGCGGGTTGAGACAATAGGAAGGACTGCGGCAACGCTGGCGTCGTTTGCTGTTGCTGTTGCTGCTGTTGTTGTTGATAATGGTGGTGCTTGTAGGACGGGGAAGGCAACCCCTGGAGTGGCGAAGGCATCACAGCACTACAGCGTAACGGCGACCAGCCCCCCCTGGGACCCGGGGAGAAGAGTGCCGGGGCGGCCCCCAGGTCCGCTAGCTCGTAATGTGTCAACAGCTCCAGAGTAGCAGCCCCACCGGACACTGAGCTATCCCCCGGGCGCTCCACCGGCTCCCGCTGTGGACTGCGGCGGCTGCTGTCTGTCCCGGCCGCCATTGGTCCATTCCAGTGCAAGACGGCTTTGCTACCCCCCCCGCTGTCACCACCACCACCACCGGCACCACCACCGGCACCACCATCATCAGTTGTGTTTGGACCCACTACATGGTCTTCAGCTGCCTCCGTGCACAGGCCCCGCAGACAGGTGCCAACCCCGGGCAGCGCCAGGCCGCCCCAACTGGAAGCTGCAGCCAAGGAAGCGGCTGCGGGGACTGCTGGGACTGCGGCAGGTGCAGCAGAGCCGTCGTAGTCGTCCTCCTCTTCCAAGCCCCATGGCGCCGTGGGAGCCCCCAGTGCCCCACTCGTGCCAGCTAGCAAGGCCGAACACAGCAGCTGCGCGCCGCCCCGGTCGTCATCCCCTAAGACGCCATCCGCGGTGGCGTTGTTGGGGTCTGTGGGGTCCCGTCTCACATGCTGCTCTGCACCTCCCTTCACAGGGACCGCTGGGGGCGCAGACGGAGCAAACGGAGGATGGTCGAGGGCAGGGCCCCATGGGAGGGCTCCAAGGGGGGCTTCGCTTCGATCAGCACCAGGGAGCAGTGTGGGTATGCACTGCTGCTGCTCATGAGGGGCACCCGGGGGAAGCGCCAGCAGCGACAGCGGCAGTGGCACGGGGGGGGCCCCGGTGCTCGGCGGGCCCCCCTGGGTGTTCCCGGCAGGGACAGCATGTGGCTGAACTGCCGACGGCAGCCCGCCTGTCAGGTACTGGGCGTCCTGCTCAAGCAGGTCACCTCCGAATAGCTCATCGATGTGGGCCAACAGGTCGTATTCCTGGCCAAGAGGATCGTCCTCTGCTGTGGCATGGTTGCCGGTGCCAGGGGCGTCAACGCCACTGGTGGGGGGTCTAGCGGCCGCTGCGGTGTCGGCCTGAGGCAGCTGCTCCTGCCCAGTGCCGACGCCTGCTCCAGCGCCCGAGCTTCCTGAGGCCTTCTTCTTACGACCAGGTCGCTTCCGCACCTCCGGTCCGGTAGGGGCTGCGGCACCGGTTAGCTCGCATGGAGCGGGCCTATAGTCCAAGTACGGACTGGGGTCAGCTAAGCGGTTTAGCGCGACGGCATATAACAGCTGCAAAAAGTCTCTTGCCGGTACGTTGAGTGGTACAGCCTACAGTCGCATAACAAAAGGTCAGTGGCATGGCCGCCGCCCGGCATCCAACAGAACGAGGCTCACCTGATGGATGAAAGTGAAAGACCCATCAAGCCATATTTCCTTAAAGGTAGCAAGCTTCAGCGGGGCGTTGCCCTGAACCTGCAATGAACCTTGGAGTCGTAAGCCAGTTGCTACGTTACCATTTCCAAAACAATTTCTGCGGACCTTTAGTACAAACTGATCAATAATCTTATGAACATCCGCTTCAAAGCTGGGAATTATGGATGCCGGCGCAGACTTCTTGGGCACCAGCTTGCCCATGATGGCGAAGCAGCTCCCTCATTTGAGTAAGGCCAGCTCAAAAGCTGGAAAACTGCGATTCTGCACTTGAAATGAAAGCGTCTTAAGCGATGCTCAGCAAGCTTTCATGCTGCACGGCTGCCGCGCTTCCGTCTCGGCGATGTTACTACTTCGATGCTAAGATCACTGCAGCAAGTATAACGACCTCTTGATGGGTTCCATTTCCCACGCCAGGAACTATGCCATTTGCCAAAGTGCCTCCTGCATCGCATGTCTGGCGGACCAAGTACGGCAGCAACGGTGTGCTATGTACTACTGTGAAATTTCAAGTGTCCAGGTGCTCTGTGTTTGCAATAGGCGTGAGCTGCAGGAGCTGCAAAGGATATACACCAAATGCCGGTAAGCGCTGGCAGCGGCCCAACGACGCCACGAGTAAGCAGCGCACTCTCCGCCTTGCCCCTGAGTACTGAATTATGAATGCAAAGCTCATCGATACTTAGCGCAGCATTCAGAAAGCAAACGAACCATCCCATTTAGGCAGTCGACCTTTCGGTCTTGTCTGGAGCTGGTCTGCAGGAAAGACACTCTTAAGCACACCCGTTCACCACGGCTCACCTATCAGCCTTCATCAACCGTCAGTAGTAGCAGCGTGCCCTTCAGCCAGCTTCCGAAATAAACAAACGTCTTATGTGCGCGCCGCTGGCGCGTTTGCTGATAGTCTGCAGCCAGCTATGGAAGGTTAATCAGGCTACAAATACAAGGAAAATGCCACATCGCCCTGCCGAGCAGGCAACGCGTAAGATCCTTGCTTTCATTTCCCTCTAACAACCTACGACACACTTGACGACAGGGCCACAGCCAGGCAGCCAGGCCGGTCCGCTCCACAAGATACTTACCCAGCCAGCCCTGAAAACACATGGACCTCGTCAATGCGGGTGCCCCTGTTCGACGGCGGAGATCCCAATAGCCAGTACGCTGGGACAACAGCTTCCGAAGGCATTGCTTATATCTCCGTACCATCACGTGATCCGTACCTTCTCTGATACCGGTAGTCAAAAACACCAGAACAAATATACAGAAACGTTTTTTGCCTCCACACAGAAGTTTGTTGGATGCGTTGTATCTGCCATGCATTCCCGCGTTCCAAAGTTCCAAACTTGCGAAACATGCATCACACACCACGCCAACACCATGAGAACTCCTGCATGCAAAGCCCTTACTTCGGAATACTTAAGCTACAGGCTGTCCCTAGATGCCTGTTGTAATAGTGAGGTAGCGGCATGTGCTAACCGCCAACGGACACGCCATTTGCGCGACTGCTCGTAGCGCCCTTTCTAGTCGCTAATTAAAGCGTATTAAAGCTAAATAGGATTTATCAAAACTATTTTCTACGATGGCTGAGTATTTGCGGCGCGAGCTTCTACTGCTTCAAGGGCAAGAAGGCAGGCTATTTATACGATAGCATCTGTTGTATTATTGCCTCAGGATGTTTGCACAGATAACAAGTTCTCAATCAAATGTTTGGCCCGACAGCTTCCAGAGCGGATGCCAATTGGCTGGAAACGTCCGAGGCTCGCACTGCCTACCTTACGCAACAGTGTATTCTAGAGGAGATTTCTGCTGTCTCCTTGAGCAGGGAGCTGTCCTTGCCGGAGGTACATGTTACCAGCTGTCCACGCTTTAAATGTGGAAAGCTCCGTCCTTATTTCTTTGTCCGTTTGCGCAGAATGTTGGAAAGGAGAACGGTGATTTGGATGGAGCTTTCCGCTCCGACGGCTTGTTTGGGCTAGGTGAGGTCAGTTCAGCTCACCGTTGTCTTGGACGGGAGAGCAGTCCAAACTTTGTGCCCTCTGCAGATGATGGATGCAATGTGTCTGACCAAGATCGGGCGCAATGCGAGGTAATCTTGGCTGGAATTGTGCAAGAAATTGAAGGAACACAGACGCGTAGACATACGCGGAATGTACGATATCGTCCTGTCCTCTTTTCATTCTTAGGGCGTCATGATGGAGGTTTCCAACGCGCTCATTGCGCGTGTGAAGCGGTGGCAGGAGCGCATTCCGCAGCTCGCAGGTAGGCGGTTTTACTTTTTTCGCCACGCACGCTCATTTGCTGGGCTGTGTAGCCAGCCATTCTGTTAACTGGAGATGTGGACCAATTGAACGAGCCGTCGTGACAGCTACGCAACCGGGCAAGGGACAGGATTGCGTGGCCGTGGGAAGGCTATCTTGCGGCCCTACCCCAATTTGGCTCCCCGGTACTTGCGGCCCCGCTCAGGAAACGTGAAGGACTAGACTTTTTCTCTAAATACAGGTGGTTCGGGTGGGAGGCTCGAATTCGGCCGCGGCTCGAAAGTTAGCAGTGCGCTGGTAGCTGAGACGGAGGCACTTCAAGCGATGCTCGAAGCCACCAAGGCTCACCTGGCCCTGATCGACCGTATGAAGGACGGCATAGAGGAAGGCATCCTCAACAAGCAGGACAAGATCGATAAGGTGGTTCGGGTGGCCTGGCGTGGGGTGGCCTAGCATTACGAAGCAACGTTTGCCCTTCGTATGTAGGCTTTAATGTATAACGCGAGCCAACAAATAATTTGCGCTATTGAGGATTTGATCCCTGATGGATTTCCACGTGTCGCAATTTATTTTTCCTAAAGCGCGACCTGCTTGAACCCGGTTGCCTGCTGCTCCCTGACTGCTCATAGACGGAGTTCATGCTGGCCATCACTCGCGCCAAGGCTGCAATCTTGAAGCTCCAGTCTCTCGAGTACCATTTCCTGTCGGCTACGTACAAGGCTGAGGACGTCGTGGCGCTGAACAAAATTTGGGATGAGCTGACGACTCGCATTCAGAGCCTGCGGACCCAGCTTTCGGATGTGGGTTTGTGCGGCAGCGCGCACTCATGTCCACTGTGTGCATATGTGGCGGTTCAGGTGGTTCAAATGGCAATCGTGCAATTACCAAGCGTAAGAACTGGTACCAATGCCCAGCGGCGCGTCAGCAGTGCACTGTTACGTGCGGCGGCCGACACCTCTGCGGACCTTTCCCTTCACTTCAACTTCATGCCGCAAGCTCACGCCTAGAGGTTTTGGATGGTGATAAGAAGCGCGCCACACTGACTACTCGTTGGGGCCTAGAGCACGCATGCGCTTGGGTGGCACTGCACATGTGGGGGAAATTGCTACGTTTGGATTGACACTAAAGCGTTAAGATTGCCTGCGTCCTGTTAATGGTGTTTTGTGTCCCCGCATTATGTCGCCCAACGCCAAGTCAGTTTAAACGGAAACACGGTGACTACGCCGCCTTCGCAAAGATTCCGGACCGGTTCGCAATTTATCCAGCAATGCAGCTGGCCTTGCTTCATGCATTCATTTTTTTCAATGGCATACCCTCCCTCCTTGCAGGCACAGAAACGGCTTGCTGTTTTCCGTGGCCTGGGCCCCGCCTTCCACGACCAGCTAGCCCAGTTCCGGGACGTGCAGCGTCGGCTGCTGGACGCGCAGTACATGCTCGAGAACTTCAACAAGATCAACAGCGAGCTGGAGGACGGCGCGGTCGACATGATCCTGATGGGGGGAGGGTCACACCTGGACCACGATGACGGCGGCTTCGTTGTATACTAGCAAGGGGACAGGGTTTGGGTTATCGGCATCTTTGCGCGTAGCAGGATATGTAGGTAGAGTCAGGTGGACATTTGGATTGTAAGGGCCGTTGTATGGATCGTTTCCAGCATTTTGAGATTTTGTGGACGTCCCGTCCCGTCTTTGAAACTTGTAGCGGAGCTTGAAGTCTGTGCACCAATCGCGGAACGGCGTCCCTGCGCAGCGGTTTGCATCGTGGTTGGGGAGAGTGCAAATCGCAGCGACGTAAACCCCTGAGCGGATGACACACATCGTCTAGCATTGCAGCAGCGGCTTACTAACACATACCGGCGCTTGCCCGTCGCCCTGTGCGCATGTGGCCTATTACATGCCATTGGACTTTTCACTCGGCTATACTGAACCCTCACAAATGACCAGTTGGGCCCCATCATGTGAAATAAATGCCATCGCCTGAAGAGAGCGAGGACGAGCGACCCCGTCGACAGCTCTCTCAGTTTAGCTCCCCACTCCACGACCCGGGAGTTGCAAAACATATTAGATACGGTCTGGGTGAAGTTAGGCGGCCGGCTGGGGCCTGAGTCCTCTCTCAGTTGGGCGCGGAGCCAAGCAAGGGTGCCATTTTTAGTGTTACCCTGTTTGGGTCGTTCATCGACATATTGCTCATTACATTGATGCCCATGACAAGGATTGCTGGCTGCACCGGCCCCTTAGGTGGTCCGTACTGCAGGACCAAAGCGTGGCACTGGGGGACAGTGAGCTCACTAACTTGCTGTTTGTTGATGATGCATCACTCTTAGCCACTGGCTATGAGCGGGCACAATGCCTTCTTGGTTACTCGAGGCGTTTTGCAAGGCGACTGGGATGGCTGCCAACGGAGCCGAGTGTGAGGTGCTTGTCTTCAGGGGCACACCTATTGAGTGGGGGTCGCTCGTGGGTTACGTGTACCGGCTGGGTGGGAACATAGTGCTTGTATTGCCCCATAATGAAACTGCTCAGTACCTCGGGCTGCAGTACGGGACAGGCCAACGGTTTGCCGCCTGCACTAACCAGGTACTTGCGGCAGGGATACTTGCCACTTTTGGCCTCACTGCTCTCCGTCGCGACAAGAAACGTACGTATTCAAGCTGAGCATGTATAGTGCGCTTGCCGTGCCTGTCCTTTCCTACGGTGTGCATGTGTAGGGATCCGGTTTTATTAATGTAAACTTGGAGAGTGCCATGACTAACCCCCTGTGGTCCAGGAGCAGCGCGCGTTCATGCGGACGGTGGTAGGGGCCAGGAGCCCGACAATGGTTCTGCTTATCGTGAGTTGTCACAGATGCCACTTCGATTTCATTGGGTTACGTTAGTGCTAAGGTTCTGGAACTCCGTGGTGAAAAGACCTGGCACTCAAGTGTCATAGAGCTTTTGTTGCTGACCCGGGCCTTGGTGGCACTTGGCACCCTAAATGTTGGGCGGGCAAGGTCATTACCTTTCTTTCACCAATTCGGGTGGCTGATTTGCGTGGGGCTGATCTGTTGGCACATTATGCTCCTGCCCTCAAGCTGCCCCGGGGAAGCATCCTGGGGGATTTCGCGAAGAGGCCTTACACACGTTGGATGTGCTAGACACCCTTGGGTGACCCCAGGGGGTTCCCCACGGGGGTCAGCGAGGCCAAGGCGTGTCGTTAGCAGTGTTGGGTGGGGCACTACACCCTGGGTGGCTCACTCACAGGGAGATCACCTTCTCTCAGTGATTGCACCAGGTCCTTATATGCTGTAGGTTGGTATGTTGGAAACTAGGAGTAAATAGGCCCAACCACTGTGAGCGTACCGCACGTACCTGCAGGCTTTGTGACTCCTGTGGTGGAAGATGAATTGCATGTGTTTGGGGAATGCCCCGCTTATGAGGGCTTGAGGGCTAAGCATGGGAGTGAACTGATGGGTTTCAAGGACGCACCGTTATGACGGAGGCTCCCCCGCTGGCATTACCTAGCTTTCTCCCCGGGGTCTGGGAGACTAGGCACGGAGATCTCCGGCGATTCGCGCTCAAGCAGGGCGGGCGGGGAGGGTGGCGACAGTCGCCCCCCACACCATAATACGAACTTTCATGAATGGTCCCCCAGGAAGGGCCCCCGGCTTTGACGGACCCTTCGCACTTGTGTGGAGACTGTAACTTTAACTGTATTAGATATGACACGTACACCTTGTCAGAAATATCGCCCCAGTTGGTACAACATTTCCCTCCACCTCCCCAGGCAACTAGCCATGGCACGCCCAAACGGCTCTTTCATTATCCTAATCACTTCGAGGCCAAACCTTGGAAAGCATCGTCTGTTTCCAACCAACTAACTGGGCACGCGAGATTGTCCAACTTGAATAATAAGCATACCGCTAAGAAGGAATCATATCTGACGCGTCTCCCTGGTTTTGTCACTTGAAATGGCGTAATAAGGGCACACTTTCCCCAGGGTCCCTAGCCAACTAAATAAACGCAACTCTCAGCGGGCTTTCTCGCGTTCTAATGTGCAGTCACAGGGGCCCCGCCCTCGACATCCATCGCTGAGGAAAGGCCCGCTTCCACTGCCGATAGAACCATCTGCATTGCAGTAGGCATGCGTGGTGGAAAGGGACAGCATGGATCCTTAATGGTAATCCTTAATTAATGTGTTTGCACTTGAAACCCAGAGACTCAAAGCTAACAGCACCGCGGATCACCAAGCGTGCTTTCCGTTGTGCCGTGCGTTTGAACTAGACGATCGTAGGCTTGCCGAGATTGCGACCCAAGCCTAGCCACTAGCAACGCTCCCACCTGTGGTTGCGAGATCAAGAGCTTAACCGGATCGCAGTTGGGCACAATCCGTTTGCAGTTGTTGAGAACCTGGTTAATGTCACAGTACAGTAGATGGGGCTCCTCTTCTACCAGGACAGGCACATTTATGCCGGGGAGAGCGGCGCGCAGCTCATCCAGTCTCAGAGCCAGTGTCGCTGGATCCTTGAACTCGCGCAATAGTCGCGGGTGCTTAGCCACCAACCTGCCAGCACGCCACACAGCCTGAAGTGTGGATGAGTTCCCGCACCACGAGAACGAAACACCACCGCGTCCTAACCGGCCAACCGGCACTTTAAGCTAAAAGTGAGAAATCAAGCGACAAAAGTGTCCTATGTGTCCTACCGGCTGATGTTGACGCCCGGCAAGCATTCCCGTAAGCCAACGAGCTGCACGGTGAGCCCTGGCAGGTCAGCCAGCAATGGCTCCAGGATGTCCACCCTGGTGCACTCCATGCGGGTCAGCAGGTCGGGCAGTAGCTTCCCTAGCTGCTCTGCGCGCGACTCAACCTCATCCGTCGTGCAGCTGTGAGGAGAACGGTCGGACATTCAGCAGGCCGGGTAACCCTCAACGTGTGTACCAGGCGATATAGAACTCCATGGAACACGCAAGTGGAACAGGCATCACGATATAACGCACTAAACATTAGTGCCCTTCTGTGCGCCCGTCAACATATCGTGGTTATGAACTCACCCCGAACAGCACCCACCCGAGTCGGTCACTCAAGACAATCTTTAGAAGCTGCAACTGTGCGCTCTGATCCCAGGCAAGATACCGCTCGTTACACTGCAAAGGAAGGGCGACCGGGCTATGCAGCTTGTAAGTCTGACTGTTGCAATCATGCCGAGGGTTTACTGGCCCAGGGGTCTGAGCAGGGCCCGCGGCAAATGATACTGCTCACTTGGAAACCAAAGGCCCATGGCGTCTCGGATGATAATGTATCAGGTGTCAAAGCTCTCGTCCTGCACACTTCCGCCGAGCGACGAACAGCGCCTACCGTCCTATAACGAAGTCCAATGATTCGCCTCAAGCTGTTTCTATAACTAACTGGGCATTGTTTAATAGCGTGAGCCTGTAGCTTCAACATTTCAGGCGACTATTGCAATAGAGGCCAATACGGTTTTGAAACTTCACCAGCAAATTATGGGCTTTAGTGCAAACTTTCACGTTTACCCCTACGAACTATCACCAGAAATTCGTCAAATCCACCGTCGCGAAAACTCCGCTCTTTGCATTGATGTACGGCAAACCTAGCTCATAAGCCAATGCTGGATAGAGTTGCGAGTTGCCCACTTAATGGCATCTTGCCGAAATGAAACGGAGTTTGGCAAAGGAGGAAGGTGATGAACCTGAACCTAAGAGGGTGGCTGTCCAGAGCCGCTCCACACCCACAGGCGATAACCTTCATGAGACCCTGCGGGCCCAGCTTAGATGCGAAATCATATCCATCTTGTCAGAGCGTGCAAAGAAGGGAACAACAGCATGACCCAGTGAAGCCCCTCGGCGCCTGCGCCCCGCAGACTGGCGCAACCTTATGGAGGAAACTCGAAATATCGCCCGGGAGCTAGCGCGCGAGGGACTCATCGAAATCTTACAGCGAGGGCAGGCGAGTCATGGCGGTAGATCTCGCGCCGGATTGAGGTTCAGGCATGTTGGGAGTGTGTATTGGAGGTAATGTGGAAGGCTGCCCACCTCACCTCCCGTCTTTCCAATCGTACAACAGGTGATCGATCATACAGGTTCCTTTCGCGGACCAATACGCATGAGGCTCAAGAAGTAAAATTTACCTGCTTGAAATCCCGAAACCCATTCGACGGTGGGAGGTGGCCAAGAGGCCCTGGCCGACGAACACGCGCTATGCTGTGTGATGGCGCGGGGCTAATGGCTTTACACGGAGCCAGCCCCAGGCCTGATTGATGAACGAGCGCGGACGTCCCACGGGCGGACCTGGCGCACCGGTTAACCGCAACGAACTGGTCAAGCAAGCAAGCAGATGTCTCACATGCCAACCGTAACCATATGGTACCTACGTAAACACAACACGTTGGTGCTATAGCCCCCGACGCGTTCTCCACCTGCTTGTAAAAGTACAAAGGACGGAGCTTTGGCACACGATGCTTTAGCTCGGGGCCTGGGACAGGCAATATGTTAAGTTTCCAAACTAGGAATCATGGGAATCATGCAATAACGCAAACCTTACCAACAAAGCAAATGTCATTAGTTCAGCAAACCGTCACCACAAACACAGGACACCACAACACACAAACCAGGTCATGTGATCATTTCGTGCTTGACGGCACGAATAGCAAGCGGGTCCGGACCTGTTTCACCCGCGGGCTGCGAAACCAAATGTTGAGAGACGCGCCGCAGGTGGACAACAAGTCGGAATGATGTCACAGATGTGCCGACATAACACAACATAACGTGCGTGAATGCCTTATGATAGCCTGATAGACCAATCGCACATCTACCGTGGACCACGGATCGCCCCAACCGCCAAAACAGCCAAAAAAACTTCGTTAATCTTTCAGCGGATGCTGGAATACGTTAACAAAACTGCTATATCACAAACAAGGGCCAAGACAAGAAAACAAACAACCGCGAGGAGCAATTCCCTCACCGTACATGACCAACATACCAGGAAAATTCTGAGCCTGTACATGCGTGCGCTGGGCGCTGGCAGGTGTGATGCAGAATATGCTTCCTTCCTTACTGAGCATCAAGAATGCTTACTAGGCAGCCTTTCTGGTGCTGGAAGGCAGCCATTTGTATCCGCTCTTGGGGTTTGAGGAACAGCTTAAATCTCGAGAGGTCGCCCCAGCCACCGGTCGGAAAGGACAATGTCGCCTACATCCGAACCGAAAGCTGCGGCGAACTGCGGCGGCACCTCAGCCGCTGCTGGCCCTGCTGGCCATGGGTGGATGCCTCCACGGAAGGCACCGTGTTGCTGGCGCCGCTCACCAGCGGCTCCGCACTGCAGCACTCGCTGTCACCCTCGCCGTCGCCCGCGCCGCCCCCCGCGGTCTCCGCATCCACAAGAGTGTGGTTGTCCTCCATGCAGCTGCCCTGCTCCGTGGTGCCGCCACCGGACATGCAACAAGGGGCCGCGGCGTCAGTGGCGCAATCAGGGACGAGGCAGCAGGGTGGCCCAGGCGTACCCCGACAGCCCGCCCCGGCAGGACCGCCCGCCCCTGCAGCCGCCAGCGGGCTCATTCCACCGCAGGAAGCTGTGGATGGCATGGGCAGACACGGAGGCATGTCGCATACAGCCGTGTGTTGCCGCCTGGGCGAGTGCCGTGCGCCGCCGGTGCCGCCACTGCATCCACCTGGACCTCCCGCTCCCCCGCTACAGCCGCCGCCGGCAGCAGCTGTGGGGCTCCCCGTCTCATTGCAAGGCGCGATTACCGGAGGGTGCTGCGGATGCGATGCATGCTGCTGTTGCTGCTGTGCCTGCCGCTGCATGAAGTGTTGCGCAGCGGGTGGCACCTGCGCCTGTCTGTCCATATCCAAAGAAGGCTTCCCCAGGCTTGTCAGGTGCATGTCTGTGGCCGTCTGTGGAAGCAGCGGTGCCGTCAGAGGGACCGCCAGCATGAGGCTGCCAGGCGAGGCGCTGTTGGGTACTGACATCGCCGGGGGGGTACATGTGCCGCCAGCCTTGGCCAGATGGGACGCGCCGTTGCCGTTGCAGTTGCCGTTGCCACCAGCAGCGCAATTTGCGTTGCCGTTGGCAATGCAGTTCCTTGAAGCCTTGGTGTTCCCCTTAACAGCTGCTGCCAGGGGGGCCTTCGGGGCCCCTTTGGTGCTGTTAACAGTACCGTCCGCTTCGGCTGCTCCAGATCCATTCCCCCGGGCTGTTGTGCCATTGCCCACCAGCCTGCCGCCCATCCCACCATTGATCAAGCAATTGCCGGCGCCTGCAGCGTCCCAGTACACGCCGCCGTCATGCGGGTGAGGGTGTGCGGGGTGCGCATGGGGGTGCGACTGGGTGCCGCCTCGTAACCCGCCCTCCTCGTACACCGCAGCGGCTGCCGTGCCGCCGGCGCCACCCAAGGTCCGCCAGCGCCCCGGCGTGTGGACACTGCCAGCGCTCAGACGACTGTTGACAGAGTGGCTCGGACCCACCGCCTCCTCTTCCTCCTCCGCGCCGCCGCCATGTGTGGCGCCACTGATGCCGCGCTGCGCCTGCGAGTTTGAAAGCAGATTCGTTGGTACTGCGGGTGTGACCCGTACTGCCAAGAGGTGTACGTCATACGTTGGGTAAAACAAATGATAAGGCTATGCGTCAAAAACAGCAAGACTTTAACGACAAAACGTCACAACAATCTTCGCTATACTTTTTGTCATGCATCGTCGCCTCTCCTGATTGCCGTCCGAAGACTCCGAACAGTCCCTCCAGGACTCCTCGGAGGAACGGCGCCGCCACCACCACCATCACCACCACCACCACCACCACCACCATCACCACCACATGGGGTGGTATTACTGATGGAGCCAACGCGCCACGCGCATGCACCGCAGGACATACCTGTGCGTGCGCGCTGCCGGAGAGAGCCGCCTGCGCATGTGCAGGTGTTTGGCCACTGAGCTGCACATCCATGTCCGACAGCAGGTGCAGTCCCTCGCCTCCAACGGCGCCGCTGCCAAGCGCAGGGCCCCCGTCAACCCCGGCTGCCGTAGGCGCTGCAGCCGCCAGCCGCTCTGCCGAGTTCACAACTCCCCTCATCCCTAGCGCTGGCGGACCCATATGCTCTACTGCAGTCAGGTGACCCATACCGGCGTGATGGTGGCTGTGATGTCGGCCACCCGTGTAATGGTGGTGGTGGTGTGGGTGTGGGTGTAGCTGATGCAGACCTCCCCCCATGGCACCTCCGGCGGGTGCAAGTGCGCCGCTGTGGCCCGCAGCGGCAAGGCCTGTGCCGGCAGCCCCCACTGTGGCGTGCTGGGAGAACGTCTTTTCATTGCTACCGCCAACGGAAGCCCCACGACCCGGAGTGTTTGCCACCGCCGTGCACAAGCCCCTTGCGCCGCCACTGCCATTGCAACCTCCACCTCCTGCGGTGCCGGCTCCACCGCCGCCGCCTCTGCTTCCGCCGCCGCTGATAAGCTCCCGAGGCACCCCGTACGCCCCTTCTCCGCCAGATACCTCAATTTCCATCGCGTCACAGCTATTCCTGCAGCCAGGTGCGTCGTCGCATGCCTCCATGCGACCAGTTATTCCGATGCCCCCCTCGGCCACCGCCTCCTGCGGGCCTTCGGCTGCTGCGGGCCCCCCCTCCAAGTCCATTAAGGGGCCGCCCGCCTCCCTGAGAGGCGGTTTAGAGGCCACCAGAGGGTCGTTCTCCTCCTCCACTTCCTCCAGCTCCGCCTCCTGTTCATCATCCGCTTCGTCGCCTGCCTCGGGGTCCTCACTGGTGCGCGGCTCGTGAGTGGTGGCGGGCGACATGCCAATGATGGCAGCCTGACAGGGTTGAGTCTTCACAAAGCGGCCCTTGATGCGGGGCCGCTTGTGGGACAGAATCTGTGGTTGGTTGGAGAAAGCGACACAAGTGGGTGCGGAACAGCCGGTTGACCCGTTAGCCGACCCTCTTGCTGCCACCAAGCCGCAAGCACAAATTGATACGACTGTGTAAGTGAAAAGGCCACATGTCGCAGAGTATTCCTGTAAGTGGTAAACCCCTACCTAGTTAAAACCGGAGAAACAGCAACCCGCAGTGCTTGAATTACACCACCGGTGCCGGCTGCACCCAAACGCTGTAGAGGCTGGTAAAGCGGTGCCAAGGTCCGCCCCGCAACCTGTGCCGGAAAGCGTACCGACACCCTACACTCGCATGCGCTCTGGCCTCCAGGCAATGAATGTCGGACGATTAGCGAATCCCTAGGAGGCCACCGAGTGCCTCCGCACCCTGTCCAGAACCCAGCTTCTACCAGCAGCCAAGCCATCTGCACACAACAAGGCAGCAGGGCGCAGTTCCCTCCACTAACTCACTCAGCTCAGAAAGCCGCACCTGCCGCGATGCGTAACGAATGGTCTTCTCAAAATGGCGCGTCTTGCGCTTCTGCCGGTACCTCGTGAGCGCCTCGTCGCGTTCAGCATGGTCCCGCGGCTCTCGGTACCGTGGGTCATGCTCACGGCTAACCTTGCTTCCTTCCGGCGCTGGCCCGGGCATCACCGCACTCGTGGCTGCTGCCGCCGTCACTGCGGCTGACGCCAGGGGGCCCTGCGACGCTGCCAACGCCGATGCCGCAGGCATGTTGTTTAGTCCTGCCACGGCGGCATTGGCTGCAGCTGCGGCGGCCGCGCTGGCGTTGGTGAATGCCACCGCTGCGCCTGGAGGCAGCTGAAGGCCCCCCAGTGGAAGGCCCGTGCTGCCGCCCGGGTTGGCTGCGGCGGCTGTGCCCCCCGAGGTCCCCGAAGAAGCGGCGTGGCTTATGTTCATCATTAGCCACTGGGCCTGCACATTAAAAAGGACATCCCAAGGATGCAACGATGGGATGGCCCCAGATTTGCAGGCAACTTTGTTGGATGGGGTTTAGACGAACCACAGCGGTGGGGGAAGACTGCAAAAGCACAATGCGTACCAGCCTTGCCAACCCTTTTCAAGACACAACGCCCCTGGACCTGCCAGCAAAGTACCAAGTGCCGGGGGCGCCTTACCATAGGGCTCATAAGCATGCTTCCGAAGGCGTCCGGGGAGACGTTGAGGCCAGCCGACGGCGGTAGCACGGCGGATTGCGGCATACCGTGATGCTGTTGCTGCTGTTGCTGCTGCTGTGCCAGTTGCATCAGCAATTGCTGCTGATTCCTTGGCCCCTGTCCCGCGCTCTGAAGCAGCAGCTGCTGCAATTGCTGCAGTTGCTGCTGCTGTTGCTGATTGAAAAGCAAAAGCGCAGAAGAGTTGCTGGTGTTGCCGAGGAGCCCCAGGCCTCCGCGCGTCTGTGCGCTTTGGAATTGCTGCTGTTGTTGTTGCTGCGACTGTTGCCAGGCGTGAGACGCGCTCGCCTGCTGGTAGCCCTGCGGCACAAGGGGTAAAGACGAGCCGGGCACATGGAGCTGTGATGTTTGCTGTTGTGACAGACCCAATGCCATCCCTTGCGAGTGCTGCGGAAGCTGATGTGGCCGAATTTGGTGGGAGGTAGGCTGCCCTAGCGGTTGCTGTTGCTGTGGCTTGGATGGCGGGTGAGAAGCTTGTACCGGTAACGCGTTGCTGCTGCAGGTGTTCGTGGTGCAATCACCGAGAGGCGGGTGGGAGGCGAGCTGGACGGCGCAGGGGAGGACGCCCTGCCCTGGCCCAAGCCCGTTCGCTTGGGTCGCCAAGGCACGGCCATTGCTGCTCACACGGTTCGGCAGTTGTGGACGAGCATAGTGTGCGTAGTGTTGACCGTGTCCCGGAGCGCCTGCCGGCCCCTGCTGGCTGCTCGCACCCTGGGCGCTGGAGGTGGAGGGTTCCTGTTCGCGTTGGGGTGGATTGCAGAGCGATCTCTGAAGGGGTCCCATGAAAAAGAGGAGGAGCTACTCCTGTCCTATTAAAACCAAACTCATTCACGTGAGGGTGTCTCTTAAGAAAGGTGCCGACCAGGCAGGAAGATTCCCCTAGCCTACGAACTACTAATTGAAAGCCCCGTCTTCTGGGCAAGAGATGGCCTTTGGAATAAACTAACCGGCGACGGGCTCTTTGATTGCTGTTTCCCAATCCCAGAAGCGTGCTAACGCAGCACACGGCTCGCACCTGCTTGACTGGCGGCAATTGGTGCTGCGTTGCGCTAATGCCGCTGTTTTGTGGCTGTGGCTGCGCAATCGACACATGCTGAGCCTGGCTGGCTTGCTGTTGGGGCTGCTGCAGCTGCTGCGATGGCACAAACGTCCCGAACGGCGGAGGGCACAGCCCGTTCACACTCATCGCCGGAGTCCCGCAGGCCCCGCCTCCGAAGTGCTGCCCTGCTCCTCCTGTCCCCCCGGCTCCGCTGGGCTGTATCTGTGGCTGCGACTGCGTCGGGGGCTGCGACGGCTGCCCGCTCCCAGCTGTGCCGCCAGTCTGTACCCCGGAGCTCTGAGCTGCCACCTGAGCCCACGCGGCGCTGGCGAGGGTCTGAATGGGACCCAGGAGCGGCAGCGGGAGCTGCAAGGCGCCAGCGGCAGCCATTAGGCTTGCCGGCAGCTGTAGGCTCCCAGCGCCGACAGGAAGGCCTGCCGGCAACAGGCTCGGTCGCCAGGGATTCGTCATTCCGGCTGTGGATAGCAGAGCTGCCTCGTACAGCGAATTCTGCGATGTACGCGTGAACGAAGGGCACAACCATCTGAACAGAGTCGTTTATTGGAATAGCATGGGACGGCCAAGCATGGACTCAAATTTATATTCACACCATGCTGACACCTTAAAAGCAACTTCCCTCGTGCTTGTGCCTCCCAGAAGCCAACAGAAACCAACTTCTCAATCAAGGCAGAGGGCAGGCATTGCATTACCGTTTGGCCCTTGTCTGCACTACCGCATGGCATGTAGGGGAGAAAGCCGTTAAACGACTGAGGGAAGCCACTCGTGCCCGGAACGCCCATGCTTGCGCTGGTCGACACCGGTGTTGCCGTCGGAGCTTGCAGCGGCTGCTGGGGCTGCTGAGAGAAGGCCCCAGACGGTGCAAGCATGGACGTGCCGTCGCAGCTTTGCCGCGGAGAGGGCGCAAGCATGCCTGGTAGCGCGACGGGCCCCGCAGTTCCCATGCCACCGATAAAGCACGCGGGCTGCAAAGATACCTGCGCAGCAAAGGCATATCGCATTTGCTAGGAAAGAGGCAAGGCGATGGCCGGCCCCCGCCGCTGGGAGGTGACGAACGAAGATGGTCGCGCAAGATGGTGTGTCCTGACCACAGAATCACGCCAGCTGCAAATCGCAGCCGCAGCCGCAGCCGCAGCCGCAGCTTACTCGCGGCAGTGGCAATCCAGTTTTGCAACCTAAGCGCGTCATTACCCCGGCCCCCGTACTCACTGGCTCTTGCTTAACCAGAAGGCTGTTGATTGCCGCCAGCTGCTGCTCAGATGCAAGGCCTGCAGCAGTCAACCAGGTCAAGAACATAGTCCCTAACCATGCAGCCGAAGGACAGCGACGCAAGATGGGAACCAACTGTAGCCCCCTAAGAAGTTCACGAGGTGTTCACGAGGTTACCTTGGTACTGGGCGTTGAGTAAATTGCTGAGCCAGGGCATCGCGGGCGCGGCTGCATTCTGACCACCGCCTTGCGATTGCCCAGGCGGCGCTAATGCTGCACCCAAGCTCTGGGGCCCTCCCTGCACATCGACCTGTTGGGAATCACACACAAGTGCGCGTCACCCGGGGCGCCAAGTCACACACTGGCAGGCCCTGTTCCACCTCTGCTACCGGAGGGGTGGCCCTGATACGGCGGGCTGGAACTTGCAGTGCTGAATTTCTACAATCATGCTTTGCCAGCTGCTCAGACAAGCACTACGGCAAGACGCATACGACCGAATACGAAAACACCCTTTCACACCTGCATTGCCGGAGGGACCTTTGGAAGCTGTCGGCCCTGCACCGGCGGTAGGTGCAGAAACTGGACTATGGAAGAACCGCCGACGGGATCCTTCGTCGCGATGAGATGCCCCTCTTGGGTGCTACTCAAGTGCAATTGTGAACAGTCCACAGCTTGGGACCCGTTGCTATGCGGTCGCGGGGACACCGGGCCCCCGGCGGGCTCCTGCGCCGGCCCCGGGGCTGCCGGGGATTGCTGCACTCCGCTGAGCTCCATGACTGTCATGGCCTCAAAGTGCGATGCACTTCGCCGGTGCTGTTGATGCTGTCTTTGCTGCTGCTGCTGCGACTGCTCTTCCCTTTTTGTCATGTCACGCCCGAACATCCCATACTGCTGCTGTGACTGACATAGCAGCTGCTGCTCGGACCGCTGGACCAGCTGCTGCTGCTGCAGCCCCGGCTGAGCTTGCATCTGAGCCCGCTGTTGCTCCTCAAATGTGTTTTGGGTTTGGGTGTCCATCTCCGTAGAGTGCTCCAAAGACGGCGCCAGCTCTGCAGCTCGGCGCGGGGCGGAAAGCGGAGGGGCTTGATCCTCATGCACACCCTCGACGTTCTGGATCCCATGCCCCTGCCGCTGCACGGACGGCCCCACCGCAGGAGCTATCGTCGCGCCCTCCTGTAGAAGCGCACCCGGATCGGATTTCCCCGCCATGGATGTGGAGGGTCCACTGGCGCGGCATTCTGGGTAAGCTGCGCGGACCGTTTGGCTTGTCCCCGCTGGCATGTCTGTTGGGGAGTCCGCCCATATGGACAAGTCCAGGTCGCCTGCAGCGGCTGCCGTCGCCTCTGCATCCTGCTCCTGCAGGTCACACACATCCTACGCTTACGACAACATAATCCGCAGAAGCATGGCGCAACAGCCATCAGGGCAAAGCCGCCCCACCTCAAAGACCTGTCCGACCTCCTCGCCCCAGCTGCTGAACAGCGCGTCCAAGACGTCTGGAGTGTCAGCGCCGCCGGCTACACAGTTTCCACCTCCCGCCTGCGCGGAACGGTGCAACTGCACTCCTTCGCTCGTCACATCCAGCTGGTCCAGTCCACCAACCTCACACCTTCCGGCGAGGGGCGGACCCGGCTGAAGTCCGGCTAACGATGCTGCAGCGCCTGAAGCAAACCCCGAGGGCGAGGTACATAAGTTCGACATTTTCTTCTTATTTTGGACACCCGCCGGCCAACAGACTCCTGCGCACCTGGGGGGTATGTCGCACCTTGGGAGGAACGGCCTAGGTGAGGTCCATCTGCATCACACTGTTGCCGCATGCCTCCAGACGACGAGGGCGCATGATGAACGCCAGGAGGGCCAATGCCGGACCCAAGAACCAAAGTCGCGTCCCGCACCCATACCTGCTATGACGGAGAAGCGAGGGCAGGCTCAGCGTTCCTGCGGACTTAGTTGATTGAGCCTTCCGCCTCATCACAGTCGGAGGAAAACTCTTAAGGCCTAACGATAGGCAGGTTGGTGCTTCTGGCGATCTGGCAGCCCTTGAGCCCTCAGCTCGTATTGGGGCGGTTTGCAGGTACGGGGAACGCACCCACGACCATGTAACATACACACACACATGGGGGGTTGTTTAATCTTTGTTGTCTGATGTCACGGCCTTAGAATGCAGCTTAACGCTTTCCGCTTTCCGTCGTTCCAATGCTGACATGGAATTGGTCATCCGCACCGCAAGCCGTTCTCATTACGGGTACCTTGCACTACGGGTCTCTTCTATCGTACCTGTTGGCTAACTTGCACCCCGCTACTCGTTCGGGCATCGGCCAGCAGCTCCGAGCTTTCTTGTGGTGCAGATCCAAGCGCCTATCCGTGTTCCAGGGATGTGGCCGACACAAACCGTTACACAGCGTCACCCGGATCGTTGCTGAAGTTAGGAAATCATTCCCACCTGAGAATCGTGCAGCGCAGGTGCAGCTAAGGCGCCTGCCACCTTATGCAGCTTTCCCTTCGGAACGGTGTTCGCGCACGAAGTGCAGACGTCGATACCCTGCTCTTGAGGTGTTGTGCTGGTCTTCTGCAATGGTCACACGAATGTAATATTGCCACCCAAAACTGTAATTTGAACAGCCTGATAATACTCTCGTCGCCCGGACCTTGCGCTTTGCGTACCGTAGCTTTCAACCGATGACATACACTGCACAAAGGCCATCTCGTGTGCCTTTGCGCAACTTTATTTGCACTGTGCACCTACGGGATACAATTGCAAAGGGAGGCACGTTCGGAAACGAAGCTATTGTTGTGAGTGAGAACAATTGTGCCTTCGGGGTCGACAAACCATCACGGCACATGCTGCACAAATGGTTCAAGGCACGTACCGTCATATCACATACGGGGCATAGCCTGACATTGTCCTCGTCACAAAGCACTGTGGCATCTCTTGTCGCGCAGACCTCGCACTTCGCGGTCACTCCATCCAATTTGGCAGCTTGAACCTTTTTCTTCATTTAATTCAATTAGTCTGCGTAAAGATGTTGTCACGAAACGATGGCTTGGCGCCCTCAGCTCTCGGTACAGGGACAGGCTGTTTTGGAGCTGTTTCTCAAAGATTTGCCGACTCAAAGCACTAAACCCATTCTTTTAGAAAATGTTGCATGGACTTGCACCGTGCAACCTGAAGGCTCAGGAATGTGTCGTCCACCCAATCTCGGCCGAATCGCCCCGTACCGGAGTTCGGAGCCCTGTCATAGAAGCGTCCAGCAAAAGATAACTCAAAAGCATCAAGCTTTAAGCCTGCTTAAGCCAAAAGACTAGCAGGGTCCCATTTTGTCAAATTGTTGACTCTTCACAAAACCTTATGTGGCCAGTTCATAATTCCAGGGCTGAGCTTTCTCACGCTGAAAGGGAGCTTAAAAGTGAATCCGTGCTCATAAGTGAACGTTTCCTGCGTAACTGCGCTTGGGATAATTATTATAAAAACGTTCGAACAGAGTACGACAGCCCAAACACAGTCTTTCACATCTCATGTAGCGGTGCAGGATTACCCATAGCTGGATTTCCTTGAGCCGTGTCAGACTCAAGGTGTCCGGAAGGAAGCCCAGGCGCCGAGACGCGAGAGCTGGCCCCGTTTGGCAGCCCCAACATGCCATGCGTTAACGACATCTGGTATCGCATAGTGCCATGCCTGTTTCTGGGATCAGCCGTTTTGTGTGATGACTTGGTTCCCGTACAGTGCAGTACTGCGTCAGTGAGGTAAGCCGCAGCTCGGACAATCTGGCGCTTAGTGATGTCTCTCGGGATTGCTCTTGGGTACTGCTGCTGCTGTTGCCGAAGTTCTGCTGTCGCCGCAGGCCGGTTCGCTGGCCTACTGACGTCTGCTTTAACCAGCTAGCGGTTGCTATAATTAATTTTTCAGCATCGGTCAAGGTCGGTCAGTTACGTGACTTGGCACGTTCGGGATACGACGGGCACGTTTAGCCGTCAAACGCGCTGTAGGTGGACCACGTAGGCAGACGCGGAAAACTACGGGACGAAGCGCGGCACAGACGCAACTTGCAGGACAGCGCTGTTGTGCATCATAGCGGGATACCGCAGTTGTTTGGAACCCGGCATGACCAGTGGACTCCAGCCAATCCTTGTTAGCATGCAAGGAACTGTCTACGAGGCACGTGTCCTATTACGTTTGTACGCCGTGTTGCGGCCTGTGCGCCCGTGAAAAGCGTGAAAATACAGTGCAGATGCCGTACATGCCGAATACATGCATGGTGTAGTGCCTCTACTACAGCCGCAAACCGCTGTATGAAGCACAACAATGCAGGGCGGCCACCACAGCCGTTACGAAGGGTGGAAGCGGTGCTGCGTGCCGGCTGAGCTCCCTTGCAAATCTATTTTCAGATGTGCACCGGCTTTCTCTACATCCGCAATGCCATAGACGCCATTCGTGTTCGCAGGACCATGGTTTCACAACAGAAGGTGTCTACAGACGCAGAACCAATACTGATTGATCAGAAGCTGGACTGATGCAGGCCTCTGCCATTCCATTAGAGGTTACTTACTGGCTTCATCCTACCGCGGACATGCACTTCTGTACACCTACACATTACTCAATCCCTCAATACAGAAAGGGTCTTGTCCCCCAAGCGCCACCGTTGGACATCCCCAAATGCATTGCCACGGCCTTGCACATTCAGCCGACAACTTGATACCACAGGTGCATCGCAACCTAACGAAATACTTCTTCTCAATGGGCTCCTTTCCACCCACGGCCCCATCCCTGGTGCGCAAAATTGGGATCCAAGGGCCGGTGATGGTACAAGACAGAAGCGCTGTACTTCCCGCTAGACGCAGGCAGCTGCGTCATGGCACCCTGCTGGCCCACAAGAATGCCAACGGAGCTGAAATGCAATGGAACATCTGCAGCAGGTGGACGAGGGTATCACTTCTCTGGCAGCCTTCACTACCAAGGCCAGCTTTTATTTCGGTGTAAAGAATAGGCCCCCAGCCATGCTGGATACTTGGTTTCAAAGCACAATGTACAAGGGGTCCGTTAACGCATCGTCTGTTCAGTTGTCCTTTGGCGTGAACAACTTTTTCACCTGCGAGCAAATGTGAGAAAGGGTGTCCGCCAAGTCACCAAAGTTAAACCCCAAGTTACCAATGCATTTCCTTGCCACTGCATACCCGCGCTCGTCTCTCACCTGCTCCAACGTCAGAAACATGGCCACGTTCCAGGACCCCAGGCGACCGAAATTGGGAACAAAGCCCTTGTAGAACGCCAGAAGGCCCTCGTTGCGCGCCGTCTTCACAAAGCAGTCCAGCACGCCGGAAAAGCGACCGGCGCTATCGCCTGCGGGCAGTTTCAACCCCAAAGCATCATTCCACACACTTAACCACCACTTCGTAGCTGCTATGAGGCGAGGCCTACAACAGCTTGCTACAGTTTCTCATTGCCGTCCAACAACGCAAGCCTGCGCGATACGCGTGCGCCGACAGCTTGGCTAAGCCATTAAGAGAAGGGCCGCCTCGCAAACTCACCCATAATCCTTGATTTCACGACGTCCACAGGCGATCCAATGCACACCGCGAAGAAGCCTGCTCCAAGACCTACACACAAAGGTGCAAGGTGCGGTCTCTTGACCTCTTACGGCATATCCATGAAGGCAAAGACAAGATTGCTTACCGGCCAAAAGGTGCGTCCCAACGTTGTCCTTGAGCCCAGCGCCCAAAAGGGTTTGCTTAATCTACGGTACAGAAAGACAGGGCGGCGCTAGGTAAGGAAAGCGGCCTCTTTCATCAAGGGCCAGGATTACTGTGGGGCTGTAAAAGCTTCATCCATAAGATAGACCGTGCGGGAGTTTCACGTTCGACCGATCTGAGTTGTCGTCCTCCAGCAATTATCCCTAGTCAGCAATTCTTGGTGCCCGTACGCTGAGCAAATTAATACTGCTGTCGTACTATCATTCCTGTCCAAATGGACGTGAAGCCAAATAGGGCGCCTTGCCCACGAACCTGATCGTAGCTGGCCAGCTCAGCGGCGTTGATGATGGCATTACGTGCAATGTTCGGCCCAAGCCCCTTCCATAAACCTAGCACGCCCTCCTCCCTGCATATGGTACATGAGCTGCGGGATAAGCGACGCACGCAAAAGCGATATGCCTGGGTAGATGCTCGCTGACCAACCTGGCAATAATGCCATAAGCAGCGAAGGCGCTGGGGTATTTCTTGGGTGTCCCCGCGGCAAGCTTGCCCTCCGCCTGCATGCGCACCTGCATGGAATGCAGGAATGCCGCTCTACCCACCTGGCTATACGCGTAACCGGTAACGTACAAGTAGATGATAGTGCCGAAGGGCGGCCCCCAGCAGCTAGCCTTGTGCACGAGCTATATGCGAAAAATCGATGGGCAGAAAACCGTGCAATTGACCAATCCCGACAGCTTAATAGTTGTACCACCATTCGGGATGGGGCCACGTTCCCCGAAGGAGAGCATCAGTACGAAATCCCTTCCGCCTGGCATTCGCAATGACTACCGGTTCCATCATCACAAGATGCTTTCTTGCCAGGCCCTTCTGTTTGCCTTCGGTGCAAGACCTAATACATGCACATAGGAACGACTATGTACACATCGGAGACTTAAGCACACCGTTTCGCTACACAGACAATAACACTGACGAAAACACTGACCAAGATTACAGGGAATGAGCGGTAACTTCTGTGCAGTGGCAGGCTGCGTTGGCTGTCTGGCTGCGCTGCAAACGAAGGTGCCATACCTTGACCAGATCCGTTGGGCTAGCGACTGAAATGCCAAGAGCCCCAGTCGTGAGGCCAGCCGCAATCTTCAGGTGCAGTGGGGGATCGCCCTTGAAATCCTTGCCCACGTACAAGTTGCGAACCTATGAGATGAGGGGTGCTAGTTACTTTCATGCATAGTAATGCGGCTTGGGCTGTCCAATAAATGTCATACACATCAACCTCAACGCGCGCCGTGAGTCATACCAACCCTACCCCATACACGGGACGCGCTCTCACCGGTTCATAGAGGCCGATGCGCAGGCCGCCAAATAAACACTGGCGATGCAAGCCTATGATGCAGGGCGGGCACGGGCAGGGGTTCGGCACGACCAAGAAGTGGTCGAATAGGTCTACATGCCGAAGACCAGCACTTACCCGGCTCCAGGCCTTTCCAGAGGGATGCAGGACCCTCCTCTCGTGCGATAGTCAGGACTGTGCCAAGCATCCCCCTGCACGGACAATTTGTGGCCACCTTCGCCACTCTGGGTCCTGAACTACGACCATGCAAGATCAGCATTACCCTACTTATACTTGTTGCTACCAGACTGTAGTTGTAGCCTGACCTTGGCTGTGTCCAACGGCAGGGTGAGCGCCTGCAGTTAGTACAAACCACCATCAGGCGAATTACAGGACAAATTATGAGTTACATCTTCTATTATAAGTGCGCAGAGGTTACCTCGGCAGTGCACGCAGCAATCGCGCTAGAAGCGAACATTTGGGGAAACGGAAGTGATTTGCCTGAGCTTGCAACCATTTTTAGGCACTTTAGCACAAACCCATAAACGAATAGGATCGCAATGCTCAAATCCGCTGTGATCCTAAGAAGGCGCATGGAAAGGGCATGTTGGGGGTTGGCGTACGACAACGTTCTCGCGCGATAGAAGGGGAACTCCTCTGGGACTGATGCCGGCAGAAATATTAGCTCGACAACCCCGACCTTTTGCTCAGACGTGTCTGTGCTCCGCATGACAAGAACAGAGTGACAAACCGGAAGAATGGCGTCTATCTCCATCGCGCGCTCTTTGTTCCGGTCTTGTCTTCAATCTAGTGTTCGTCGTGTTCGTCATTGCAACGCCGTCGCCAACGTAGGAAGACCCCGGCCCCTGCCTGTCGGAAAACCGGTCGCACCGGTACCAGGTGGGCTTCCGGTTAATGCAGACGATTACGGGAATCCTGCTGACGCATTTCCCAAAAATACGCGACGTTTGTTTTAAGGAGCTCGATCGCACCGCCGCATGTCTTGTCGAGCCGCTGAAAATTTCGGTGGGGGTGGCGGTGGCAGCACCGCGGGGAAGCAGGTAGGGTCCGGTGGGAGCGGCGAGCCCCACAAACCAAGCGGGTCATCAGGTGGGCTCTGGGCATGGTACATGAACTGCCTGGAGACGAACCCGGTAAGTCCTTTTGGATACGAAGACCCGTGCTCGCTGCCTGCCACCCCCGTTAAATTCGTATTCCGCTTATGCGACGCAGCTGTTCACCAAAGCGCTAACTTGCGCGCTGCTCAACGCGCTTGGAGACATCTTTTGCCAATTTTTCATAGAGGGCGGCAAATGGGACATTCGTCGGACAAGTATCTTCACATTTATGGTGGGTAACTTAAAGCTTGGCGCTGCCCTATGAACTCGTCGCCGAGTTTAGCGTCGGAGGCCCCTGGGTTCCCACGGCTTTGCAATTGGCCAATACCATGCAATGCTACGGTTCTGAATCCTGAAGGGCTTTCGATGATTACTGCTGAGGTCGTGCACTTTCTGCTGTGTCATGCAGGGCTTGGCGCTGGTGGGGCCCACGTTGCATTACTGGTACTCTCTGCTCAACAGGCTTATTCCGGCACGTGGCGCTACAGGCAAGTACCGGCTGAGTAGCTTGATGAGATGGTTTTCAGGACTGATTTATTCTGTGGTGAAGGTAGGAGTGGAATTGCCTATGCGCACATAAACTTCAGCTCTCTGCAAAAGGGGCTGCGGAGTCAGTGTTGCAGGATTGCAGCTGGCCCCACATGTTGTGGCGCAGGGTTGCCCCGCCTTAGCTTAGGGGGCGAGAGGGCGTTGAAGATCCGGGTCAAGGACTGTGACCCCCTGCAGCCGCATGTATTGGAGTGAAGTGTTGGAACGTTTGACACCTGGAACGCTTCACCTGGTCTGGCAGGTGCGGGTTTGCAGCTGTTGCTGGACCAGGGCGTATTCGCCCCCCTGTTCCTGGCGACCTTCATCTCGGTGCTCTTTACAATTGAGGTGGGCAATTGACATACACGCCTGCCACATCTGATCGTCGTTACACGCAAAGTAGCGATGTTCTGGTGCTTTCATAGTTGCCGGAGTTAAGTGTCCTGCGTCTCGAGAAATGTTAAAGGGCGTCTAGTAGCGCATGCCTCCTAAAAGTATTCCGTTTCTTTGCTCTCTGTGCTTCTTTTCCGTTCCAGGGCAAGTCGCACCTTGTGAGGTCCAAGCTTGAGCAGGACCTTTTGGAGACGGTCAAGGTCAACTGGGTGTTGTGGATCCCGGCCCAGTACCTCAACTTCCGGTTTGTGCCGCCAAACTTGCAGGTGGACCGGAGTTCGTTCAAATGCAACAAGTGTATTGAGAGTAGGGACCCGTACTCTGTTACGTAAGGGCGCGAAACCAATTTTACCAGATTCCCATATTCACATGGATAGTCACTCCGATATAATCTGCGTGGTGTCTACCCAGCAGTTGTGCGCTTGCCACGTACCGGCACGGCAACTGCACTATCCACCACATTCACTCCGAAGCATACCAACAAGTATTCCTTATTCCGTCTCTTCACAGGTTCTAACTGCAAACATTGTGGCGCTCATCTGGAATACGTACATGTCCTTCCAAAGCCATAAGGCAGTTGCACAGCCTCAGCCGAAGCATTAATCGTATGGGGAATGTCGCTATCTTTACATAACGACACGATGGAGTATGCCGGTTACGATTTACAATTGTAAGTTAACAACGGCAAAATTACGACTATTATTCGATGTACTCCGCTTTCTCGTCCAAGCCATTCTGCATGCGTGTGTAAGGAAAAGCAGAGGGATGAGTAGGTTAATGTTTCGCGCTCGGACATCCCCCCTCCTTCATCGACTATCCGCATCTTCCAGCGGTTACCATCCCCGCTGTCCGCATTCCCGTCACGGACCCCATTTCAAATCTTACCCTAATGTAACCCTCTGGGAAAAGTAACACGATGTCATCCACACAGCGTTAATGTGAGCACAGATAAGCATTCAGTCGTTTATTTCCCTACTTGCCCTATTCACCAAAACATCCCATATGCATGACCGTACTCACCTCCTCGAAGAACTTGGCCAGTTCGATCTCGCGCCCCACGAACTTCTTCTTGCACCAGGAAAGAAGCGAATAGGTATTATCTGTAAAAAGGACGGGCTAGTTTTAGATCCCCATCAGGGGAAAAGCGGGAAATGGTGGACCACACGTACCCTCACCGACACGCCTGTACTGGATTGTCTGTGTAAGCTAACCCAAAGTACTCAGAGCGTGTGGGGGTTTTAACCTTTAGGCCGACACTTACCGAGCCAGCGGTTTGCGGCATACTTGGCACCCTCCGCAGCGTTCCCTGCACACACGCATTGGTATTTACATTCCTTGAAACGGAGGCTGCAGGGCACAAGATCATCTATACGACCGAGCAAGAGAGGAGTAACCAAGAAATGCCTGCCCATGAAACTTTGCCAACCAAATCTTTTTTCAGACTGCCAGGATATCTCTCCAAGCAGAACCTTCTGGTTCATGGACATAGTTAGGGTCACGGCTACACTGGGCTGCCAAGAGTCCGGGTAAACACACCCAAAGAATCCGGCGGCGGGAGAGGTTAAGGATTATATATATGGGCTGAAAGCTCAGTTCCGTATAAATGGAGCTATAAATCATTTTTTAAAACAAATGATTTAGGATTCGCTCCCATGCATCCGCCAGCCACAGAACCGTACAATGCATGCTTCCGTACACACGCATTCGTACAAACCGAAATCCACGAAATACCGGAAGTAAATGATATGATAGCCGGTATTTCGCCCGTTCCTCGGCCATCAGAGACTTACGCATGGCTTCTAGCGTCTCCGGGTCGCTTTCCCGGTACGCCGCAAGTTCGCTCTGCACCGTTGCCAAGCGCGCCTTGAGGTTGTTCAACGCAGTGAGCGCCTCTGTGCGCTTCTCCTGCAGGTATAGCAGCTCCTGAGCTAAGTATAAAGCTTCTGATGTACTTAATGGGTTTGCTCATTTCGTGGGAGTCAACAATGATGCAACGGCAAATCCATGGTGCTCACTCAGCTCCGATACCCACAACATTTCGTCGAACAGGTAACCAGAGCTGGTTGCACAGTGTCACTGTGCTGCGCCGCAGCCACGCCAAGGTCCGATAACGAAGCGGTCCCAACATGTCCATTGACAGGAAAACTCAGGGGGAAACTCTTTCAGGACCATGGAAACGACACTCCTCTGGTATTTTAGCTCGGCGGTGCAGCACCGCTGAGGGGCCCGAGCGTATATCTTGTGGCCGGCAGTCCTTCGTGATGCGGCTACTCACCGTGTTTGGGTTTGCAGCTTTGTGCTGCGCAATGGCATCCTCCACTTCAACTCGACGCCGCTTTGTGCTGGCAAGCTCCGTCTCGTACTTCTTCACTTCGGTCTCGACCTGGCGTATCCCAAAGAGGCGCATGCGCCACCAGGGAAGGAGGGACCCTAACGAAGGGCATCATGGTGCTGAGATCCACACAACAAGGAAAGGCCAGGAGGCCACAGCTGCAAAACGACTGACTTCCCCAGACAGGCGCCACCCCCGCTCTGGTGTGCACTACATGTCGCCGTGCAATGGGGACGGCAATGGACTGCATGCCTCTTTCCCAGGCCGTCGACTTGACGCGCACCTTCACGCTCGCCTCAGATGGAAACGCCCAATAGTAGTTGCTGGTAAGGGAGAGAACCAAGAAAGTGAAGCATGGACAGCGGGTGCCCCATGGGGACTGGGCGCACGAGCCGTCCGCCGACTAACCTGATGCCAATCTTTTCGCAGTGAACGAGGTCGTCATCGATGAGGGTCTAGGAAGGGGCAAAAGATGTTGGAAGGGCATGCACGTCTTGCCTTCAACGAAGCCTGGCGGAGGGAGTGCACATTCTAATGCTTGATGTGCATGTTGTGCATGTTGTGCAAATACAACTTGCATAATGCTGCATGTCTTCGCATGATGATGCGGGTCGATGATTGACATGGTTCCGGGTGTTTCTCAGGAAGGCCACGGGCAGCTCCAACACCATTAATCGATGTAGCTGATTTCCAGCACGACTGACCTGAAGCACGTCTTTGACAGCCTGGGCGATGATGCCTTTCTTCACTGACAACCTGTTGGCCACAAGACCAGGGTTTTGTTCGGCACGACGGTTGAACGCATCATAACCGACGACATCCATACTTTTCAACATCTTTTATAACAAATACGTCTGCTGATTCGTGGAAGATTTCCAGCATCCTGTCCCGCTTGTCAGCCGCGGACAAGCCCTTCTTGGGCGGCATCCTTAGGAAATGAGAGGAAGTACGCGTGCCTACGTCACAATTTGTGTAATGATGTACGTATTATGACACAGGGTAAAAGGATCAAAAGTGTCGGAGCTCGGCTCGGATAGAGATAAGCTAGTGGTTGTCTCCCGCTTTTAAAGGAGTCCGTACAGTACGAACTTCGCTGTTTTTTGCAAAGCTCGAACTCTTTGCCGATCGTGCAAGATTATTTCACACGCAACTTTAAGTATGGTTTGCTCTTTTTAATTACAGCTACTGTCCCATAGCCGGCTTTTTCCACAGTATGAGCCGTGATTTGGAGCAGGTAGTTGACCTTAGGGATGTAACGGCTTTGGATGCTGATGCTGCTGGGAATATGTAAGCGCATGTTGAGCTACTGTACGGTGTGCATCTGTCAACTTGTTGTGCGAACCTGTATTTGGGAACGCAGATACACCCTTCAGCGACAGGAGGACGGGCAAGTCGGAATTGTCGTCCTAGACGGGCGCCATGAGGTGCTGGAGGCGCAGCAGCGACAGGTAGGTCCAATCGCCTGCCATGTAGCACCCTCTGCTGCATGACATAGCCGCCGCACCCTCGCTCCTGCCTGATGCAGGGCTCACTGCAGGCGCCTGCACGTATCACATCGCCTGCTGCAACCAACTTCGTACGCACTCACCCCGCCATTGACTTCGATGTGCGGGGTTTGCAAGTTGCCCCCAGCGGACGCTACCTGCTGCTCCACGGCACGTCGTACCAGGTACTCCTCCTCCAGTCATCAGGGGATGCAAGTCGTAGACGTTTGGTGTGATGTGTGACATTTCCTTCGTGCGTTCCGCCAGTTATCTGATGATGTAACCGAATCTTGAAGTAGGGAGCGTCGTATAACTGTGCGGGATAGGGGTTATAGCTTCACCCGTGGCTACCAGCCTAGCAGTCCCTATCTTTCCTGATGCTTCAGGGCACCCTCATCCTCATCACCCGTGACGATTTCTCCTATGTCACTGACTTTCCCGGGCTCAGACTCACCACTAACCTCCAGTGGGATCTGCCGGATCAACGGCTGCGTCAACTCCACTCCAGGTCGACTCGCAGGTCTCTCACTATAACCGGGTCCCTCACCGTCCGTCGGCATGGGGGCACTTCCTCCCTGTTATCAGTCGACGGACGTTCCTACCGGCCTATGTCGGGATTCATCCTCGAACTCTCTAGGGACACAATGCTGTGCCGTGCCTTAGCGATTATGTTGTGTCTGGATCCATGCGAACGTCCCCTTCGCAGGATGCCTCCGTGGTAGTGATGGCCGTGGTGGATTTGCACGGAGGTCAGCCGGCCCCGTCCAACCCGCACGCCCGCAGCGGTCACGCGGTGCGCGTCAAGTCATGCCGGTTGCTTCACGTGGACCCTGTGCTGTTCGGTAGCCGTCCCGGGCTGGTCCTGTACCAGGTGCGTGAGCGGCTGGGTGCTCCAGGGGATTAGTTGGAAAGAATTGCCTAATTTGGTACCTGTGCAAGAAAGGCATGAACGCTTTTTATATAATGGGAGACGTAAAGCGACACCAATGGGTCACCGGCCACAGTGGTTCTCTAATTCCCCTACACCATTTCGCAAGCTCGGTTACGGAGAGCTTAGCGATGAATAGCTATATATACGGTTGCTTTTTCAAATTGGTACTCTGTGCTGCAAGTACCATACTTTCATATCGCCTGCATTCAGCTTTGCGTCTGGCGTGTACTGACTGACAGTTTATGTGGGTTTATAGCGATGTTCAGCTGAGGGCCCTCCACCGGGCTGACCCCGCCCCTCCATGCGCCTTCAGGCTTCCTGGCATCCGCACAGCGAGGAGCACCTTGTATTACTGACATCGGACAATCGCCTGCGTCTGTACCGTGTAACACACAGCCTAGCGGTGGCAGAGCAGACGCTGCACGCGGTACTGGCTTCAGGGCCGACACCGCAGCGCTACGGCCTGGGCTCGACCGCCGCGTCCCCGGCGCTTCCCCTGAGCGCGAGCGGCGAGTCACCGGCCTCAACAGATATCGTGGCTTTTGGGTTCGGGCCAGCGGTCGGTTGGGGTCTGTTTTCGTACCTGCTGCTGGCTGCCGACGGTCTGGTGTACAGCTTGGGTCCAGTGGCGCCGTTCGGGATGCGGTGCGCCTCAGTGTTGCTGGAGCGACTGGGGCAGGAGGAGACAGCGGCAGTGGAGTGGCTTGAGGCGGTCTTTGGGCCGGAAGCGGTGCAAAACACGTCTTCAAAGAACCGCTGGCAGGGTGAGTGGACCGTCTCCATGATCTGGCTGTCTTGGGTACCGTGCACGCAGTAGGAGGTTAAGGCGTCTTACCCGTGTATGGGTCGTGGAAAGAAAGCGGCGGCCTCTTGGATAGATGGCTAGGGCATTGGTGCAGGTGGCCCTGGCTTGTGTCTTTGGTTAATCCAAACGCTTTGCTACCCGCCTATTCCCTTCCTTCCGCAGTGCTGCCGCACGTGGTGGAGGGCGTATCACCGGCAGTTGTGGGCCCGCTGAATGCATCTACGCGCCATGAGCTGCCGCGGATGGCGCGCGCGGTCTCATTGGCTGTCTCTCATATGCTCACCGCTGGCGCGGCTGGTGCAAGCGCGCCCTCCAGCGTCGGCACCGCCGTCGTAGGCTCCGCAGAAGGGCAGCTGCTTGCCTACGCCGTCGTAGGGCCCTGGGCTCCGGCCTGGTGTGAGTCCGCCCCGCAGTACATGTCGGTCACTGGCACAGCCAGCGCTGCGCCTAGCGCCGTAAGATATAAATGCACCCTAAATGTTACCAGCAGGGGCGACGGAGCAGGTACAGGTACTGCTGCGGCAGTTACGACGCCCGGCATGGTGCTCCTGGACGTCGTGGACCTGGGCCCCGTGCAGCCGCACCGGGTTGCGGGCAAAGGTGATGGAGCCGCCGCGCCAGGCGATGTGGAGGACGAGGAAGAGGAGGACGCGGACGACGACGAATACAGCGTGTCAGCGTCGGCCGTGGCCGCAGCTCGACGGGCCATGTCAATTCACATTCAGGCAGGCGTCACGGGCAGTGCCGCCGTGGTAGCTGGCCCTGGGGCTACGGCTACCGTGTGGGTTTGTCAGCGTCTAGCCGGGTGCTGGAGGGTCACCTTGCCGTGGAGCGGGATGCTGGCGCAGTGGCTGGCGGATGCGGCAGGGGCACCTCCTTCCCGGGGTGGTGATGCTCTGCCAGCCGAACTTCCCGCTCCAGTGGTGACATGCGTGTACGACGCGACGGCGGCATCTCAGGTCTCAGCAACGCCGGCAGCACGTAGCACGGCGGCTGGCAGCATGGCTGTGGTTGGCAGCAGCTTGCTGCTCAACCCGCTGCTGGGAGGAGGCTTGCTAGTCCTGACAGCAGAAGGTGGGGATTATGCTGCTGCTCTGGCTGCGTGCTGGCTCCAACTGATCCCAAACGTGACGCCGGTCGGGCTAGTGGTGTGTGTTCAAGTTTGTCCTTGGGACAGGCAATTGGTGTGTGGTCACTCGGTGCTTGCGACTCACATAGACGTGTACGCACTCCTCCATTGTGCCGGCCCCAGGTGTCCTGAACTACTTCCAGCCAGCCGGGGCAGCCTCATTATTAATAGAGCAGCAGCAGCACCTGGCGGCTGCGGCATCGCCCCACGATGTCCAGCAGCAGCAGCAGGTTGCGATGACAACCAGCACCCCTCTTCCACGCACGGCTGGGGCAAGTCCCGAGCAGCGCAAGGCGCAAGTGGAGGCACACATCAAGTCAGTGTACGGCAACCTTATTGTGCCCCCCCCAGACCGAAAGCTTCCTGGGCCGCCATCAGGTGTGGTTGGTCGATTGGTGGCTGTCACTGCTTCTAAACACTCTTGGATTTGTTGTGTATCAAAGTCCAGCAAGCGTCAGCTGCATCGGGAATGTCCGAAGTCATGTGGACTGTGTTATGCGCTTCAGAGGTTTCGGAACGAGAGGCGATGTCTGGGAGGCCTAGTTAGGGGGTGCATGCCTACAGACATGTGCTCCTGGTTTGCAGCAAAACGACGTCGGCGATGCGACCGAAGACTTGCCCTAGCGTCGGCCAAAAGGTCCTTGTGTCTGTGTGATTTCGGTGTCTCAGTCAAAGTCTAGTCATAGCTTGAAGTCTTTTTATTGGTGCCAAGCCCCGTCCATTCAGGAAGGTGCTGCTCGCCGTTGAATGTGCAGGTGCCCCCAAGCCCCTCACCGTAGCCAGTACCGAAGGGCTCCGCCACTTGACCGACTGCATAGCCGCGCTTCGGGGGAAACACATGGCTTTCCTTCACGGGGCGGCTGTGGACCTGCAAAGCCGCGCCGACGCACTCCGAGTGGAGGCGGGAAAGCACGCGGCGGCGGTGGTAGAGCTAGCCGAGATGGCAGCTGGGCTCGAGGGCCGACAGGAGTCTCTGGAGGCTCGTTTGAGCCGAGTGAAGCTGCTACATGACAACTTAGTTGAGCGGGCAGGTATGGACGGGCAGGATGTAGCGGGTTCAACACGATAACATGTTGAGCCTCCATGCTCTCATATGCATCGGATGGGAAGGCTGCTGCAGGTATGGTAAAAGCACTGGTTGACCGCAGGCATGCTGGCTAGCCTACATTGGTCGCTGCCCCGCGCATTGTCACATGCGGAGATTGCAGCAAGCGAGGAAATGCGCGGCGCGGAGGAGCGGGTCGGTTCCCTGCGCGCGCAATGGGACGCCATCTCGGCACGGGCACGACGTCTGTGCGAACAGCGGCGCAGTAGCGGCGCAGCAGTGGCTGGAGTGCGCATGGCGAGCATCCCGGAGTCCCAGCTGAATAAGGTGTGCAAAGCTCAGGCCTCCTCTGTGCAGATGCAAGGGCGTGCATTGGAAAGCATACGAGAGGATGCCCTTTAAATAAAGAAATAAAAAATAAAAGTAAAAAAGGAGATTCTCAACGGGTGCATCTCCTGTGCTTCTTTCCAATGCCTCTTTGGCGCCAAGGGGCCAAATATCTTTCTCCTTCAACACGTTGTGGAGGCTGGCCCCGGAGACGAAGAATCATGGCTTGGTCGTTTTGACGTGAGACTCTTATTGTAATTGTACCACAGGTGCAAGACACGGTCATGGCGCAATACAGCGGCCTTGCCGCCGCTCGAGCGGCGCTGACCACCTTAGAGCGGCTGGCGGGCGCAGCGGCTATGGATCGGACGGCAGAACAGCTGGACAAGGGTCTGGGGCGAATGGGACTTGCAGACTGGTCGTTAGCACCTGCCGTGTAGCTGGAAAGCCGAGTTGCTCAGGTGGATGCTGTCTGCCCGATACATGGTTGTAACATTACATTACCAGTATCAACTGCGACGAATACAGTTTGTTATGAGGTTGCAGCAGTTTTCATTATGTCGAAGTTTTTGATGAATGGTACCATGACACTTTCGGCATCAATCCCGTTGTAACAAGTCAAGTCCCCACCACTACTATTTAATACACTTCCCTACAGAACGGTCAATCTCATTCCGTACACTGTATACCATATAAATGGTCTATTCAACAAGCTTGTGCCTATCTCCATCCCGTCATCATTTCTACTCCCGCGTCCCGCCAAGCGCGAGCTGCCAAACCGCCTGCATGATGTCGACATGCTCAATGCACATCCGGAAGCGCAAAACTCCCAAACCTGCAGTTGCGAGCTTGGAAATCCCTCAGCCATAATGCATCATCCGTCGTCACCAATGCTACGAACATCTGCTGTGTTAGCATGTGCACGAACCGAGTGTTTGGAGCACGCTATTATTGCAGCATTCAGAAGGAAAGCACGCCTAATATCACCTTGCTAAAAGTGCCTACCCGGCAGGGGACATTTCACACGTATCCTAGATACCCGGTAGCTCCACTTCTCCCTTGTCAACCTGCAGACTCTTGCTAAGGCTTTGCGCAAGCCCCGCCATCCAGGCGATATCTTCAGCAATAAGCCGATGTTTGGGAGTGAGCTGCAAGTGCGCGCCAGAGCCGCCCGGGGGATGAACCACATCCGTTGGTTTAGGTTGCGCCTCGTACTTACTGCCGGGTGAGCTCTCCGCACCCTTCTGCAGTATCGCCTTCACGGGCCCTCCCTGTGGCTGGGACTGTGGAGCAGCCAATGCGCCAGTGGGCTGCCTAAGGGACTGGCTGGGCGAGTCGTCGGGTGATAACGCGGTTGGCGTAAAACCCGCTGCATTGTCCCTCGACGGAGAAGACGTGCACAGCTCCGCACCCCGGGGTCCGTTCATAAGGTCATGCAGCTGGACCAGGCTGCCGTAAAGGGCATCCGTTTGGTTCCGGAGCTCCTGAGCAGCTGAGGGGCTGAGTTGGCCCGATGATGCAAGCACCGCCAGGGCGTTGCTGACGGCCTGCATTTGCGCGGCCGCCCCAGTGCGGTTTCCTGGATGACATTGGGGCAGAGAGCAAACAAAGATAAAAAATAAGCCTCTTAATGCGGCCTCGCTCGCGAAATTGTAGGACTGCCAAGGGAATTTCATTCTGGAGATAGACCACTGCAAGTCCTGAAACTCTGGCCACCTGAGCACACATGAAACAACCCGGGGCCCCGTGAAGGCGTCCGATAAACTAAAACATTCCCCGTTACGTCACAATGCCGGCGTGACGTACTTACGGGGCGTGACAGTCTCGCCAAGCAGGACAGTATCTTCCTCGTCTTCAGGAGCTGCTGCCTTCCCGCGTGTGGCTGATGGCGGGTTCGCAGGCTCGGGGCGTCCTTCGAACAGCCGGCCCTCACCCTGAAGCCCTTGCCGGCTGAGCCGCTGGCCATCTGCCGGCACTACCTGCTGCTCCTGCATCTGCCTCTCCCGCTCTTGACGGGCCCGGAGCTTGAGCAAGCCAGCGGGGCCTGCCTCCGCACCCTTATCATTTAGCCATGGCTGCCGGTCACCCCAGGCCTTTGCAGTTCCAGCAGGGGCCCCAGGCTCAATCACAAACGGTCTCTCATCCGTACTGGTAGCCACGTCTGGCCCGTCCTGCGGCTCGGCCCCACCCAGCCGAGCCAGGTAGTCCAGGTCGCTCTGACGCAGTCCGTCCCCGAGACTAGAGGTGGTGCGATCCCGACCTCCGGGGCCGGGGGCCTCGCGAGCATTCCTCTCCTCAGAGCCCACCAACGGCAGGGACGCCAGCATCTCCGGCGATGCCATCTGCCGCCGCGTGCTTGGCCCCATGGGATGCCCAGCCTGCAATAATTGACGATCCTGGATCTGTTCATGGTCCGCCCCTTGCTGTTGCTGCTGCTGGCTGCGGGCGAGCTCTTGCTGGGGGTGCGATGGCAGGAGGGACAAGGGTAAAAGCGCGAGAGGTTTACTTGCAACTGGGAAAGGCGTCCGACAGTTTAGCCAGGTCGTACTTTGCTGAAGGAGTAGCGCTACAGGGTACATAATTACTATTCAGGTGATTAGCGCAGCAAAGATGATACTCAGGGCGCAGCTGATTCGAATCGACTACAGTCCTAGCTACAACAGCCAATAGCCATGGACGATATTGCGACACACGTGGAATAGCAAACACTCTCCGCGTACTGCCCGTGTCTTCAGACGGAGATGCGATATCTGCGAGAGGAAAAGCAAAGAACCTGGTCGCTTAGACTTATGCACATCTATGGAGGCCCCACTGTAGGCCCCACATGTCCCTCACCAATCCCGCACCTGGATTTTTAATTTTACCAATCCATTGAGCGCGTTAACCGAGTTGCGCAGCAGGGCTATGTCTGTTGCAGCGGCGCCGCTACTGTCATCCTCGGCTTCCACCTCCGCGTCCGGTTCAGCCTCCGGCGGCGCCGCGCGCTCGTGCTCATCGTCTGTGCCATCATAATCCTCAAAATCATCGTCAGCATACGCGTCCTCGTCCTCCTCCGCTGCATCAGCATCCCCTTTAGACGCGCAGCTTGTGTGCTCGTGTGCGACCTGTGCAGCGCCGCGTCCCGATGCACGTGGAGCTGGAGCCAGCGGCGGCCTCCTGGTGCTGGTGCTAACGCTCACTGCCCCTGCGGAACCCCCTTGCGACGGACCAGCTGCCGCGGTGACCGACTGCATCAGCGATACGTCGCGACTGCCTATGCATGCAGCCCCGCCAGCAGACATGCTGCCATAAAGGTGCGCTGGTATGGCTCCATCATGGTTGGCATGGAAGCTGCTTGAAGCCGCCTTGGCATGGCTGCTCGGCCCAGTGGCGGATGGTGAGCCAGCAGGCGCAGGCCCTGGTCCCAACCGCTCACCGCGCTGAGCGAAATAGTGCTGCGCATTGCGATTGGACGCCTCCCGTGCGGCTGACGCTTGCGGGTTGAGTGCCTCTATGGCGGCCACCATAGACTGTTCCAAAAGTTGACCGGATAGTTCCCCTGCCTGCTGCTCGGCCTCGCTGCTAGGCAGCGCACCAGCGGCGCTGCCATAGCGACTGGATGCTGGGCGAGGTTGCTGGCCCCTGCCGGCCGCAGAGGGCGACGGCAGGAGGACAACTCGCTCCCCTGGGGGCCAAATGATGCTAATACTCGTTAGAACAACGTTCAAGTCGTGGATGGAGGTGCATACATGAATTTTCGAGAGGCCATTTGGGACGCGCGTTATGACTTAACCGTCTGGTCTGGTCTGTGACACCGCTGCACTTAGCAGCTAAAGGTCTTGGGTTTAATTCCTGGGAGGATACCCGACATTGATCGGGAGTATTAGGTTTATAGATTGCTACTGAGGTGTGGATATGAGAGGTCTAGATGGTGAACTAAGTTTCGCATGCTGGATTGGTGGGGATGGCTGACCTGCCTCTACGGATGCCGGGTGTCTGGATGAGGAGGGGTCTAGGTGGCAGGACCCAAAACCGCCTTCGGCGGATTAACTCTAGTCCATGAGGCCCCTTGCTTTGACAGACATCCCCCCATTCGTGCGGAACTTGTGACTTGTACCTTAACCAGCGGGTACGTACCTGCAGTTTGGGCGAGGGGCCCGGGACGTCGCTGGGGCGGTGCGCCTAAGCTGACTCCTGTTAACGGGATGTCAATGTGCGCGGGCGCAGGAATGCGGCTCCCTTTGTGACCGTGAGCCAGCGCCGGCCGACTATTCCCGGAAGCTGACTTCGTTGGGCTCCGTTCTGTGGAAAATAGGTGCGCCAGCACGCAGCGAGGTAATCTGGGGAAATAATATCAAGCTCATAAAACAACAGAAACGGCCCACGAAAGCGGCAAAGAGGTCATGTCACGTCCATGAATCCACGTTCCGTAATATGCAGCCAACAGACGTACCGCTCGTTTGCCAGGCATGCAAGTATCCGGGGAGACCGGCAACAGGGGGCCATCCTGTGGCCTGTCAGCACGCCTAGGAAGGCTGGTGGCCAGGATGACGTCAACTGAAGGGCCCCACAGCACCCATTCAATTGCTTAATCCCACCGGTTGTTGTATGCGGAGCTGGCTGAACTCCCCTTACAGTATTACATGGTGATACAGATCCTCCGTTTCGTGAACTGCCTTCAAAAGCAAGTGGGGTCCATTGCTCATGCAGTTTTACGGCAGGAGATAACCGATGCTCTGACCAACCCGAAATGGGAGGGTTGGGGAACCTCAATGTTACGACTGTTTTCCTTCTTGGAGTGCAATATTTGAAGCGGAAGAGCACAAGGGGCAAGTACCATGTCCCCAGGGAGCAGCGGTTTTGCCGCTGTTATGGTACCAATAGCCAAGTCGAGGACGAAAAACATGTGTTATTGGAATGCCCAGCCTACAATGATATTCGTGCGGAAGAGGGCTTCGATCATTAACAGAGCATGTTGGAGGCCATGGAATGGGAGCCAGTACGTCTGGCGAGGATGTTGGAACGTATGTGGGCTCACCGCAACTCACTTATCCCCTTTGGGCACTAGTCTAGGCTGATAGTGCGGTGTTTCCTTTTCGCCGTGGCTTTCAGGCGTTGAAGTAATGCCCTTGGGCCTTCGGCTCGTATGGGTAGTTTTACAGGTATGGGGTCACGCACCCCCAACCATGTAACACACACAAAAAAATGCTTAACGCAGTCCTGCGACGAACCTCAGATAATGTGGCTAGCACTGAGCACGGCCTACGTGTAGAAGCACCACGTACCGCAAGGTGTGCTAGATGCACCGCTCCTAGGTCCACCGCCGCCACTGGGCCTTTCCTGGTTGTTTAAAGGGGGACTGCCGGCCTGAGCGCTCCAGTCGTTGTTCCAGGCTGGACGCCGCCCTCCCCGAGCTGAAGCGGGAGTCCTCTGCGGGGTTGGCCCCTTTGATGCATCCCGTGCAACGGCGGCACGCCGCATCAGCGGCATACCCAAGATCTCCTGCACTCGGTTGTATATGAGGCCTGAAGGGCAGCGGGCAGTAAGGGGTGGTATATGCGGCTATAATGCATACAAGATGCTGTACAGACAATGGGGAAAGACACATGGCGTTTCGGCACTAGTCTGTACTAGTGACTTACTGTCCAGCTCCTGAACGTCCATCGCTACGGCTCCCCCAGGCGTCCCCACGCCTCCAGTGGACCGTTTCCGTATTGGCTTATTGTTCTCCGCGGCGTAGGGCGAGGGCTTCTTCTGTCCGGCGGGTTTTGATGCACCTGCATATTTGAGATCAATAATCAAAGCTTTCTCACCAGTACTTCGGAAGCACTTGCGATAGGCATGGAACAAAAACCGTGACATCGCACCACGAGCCTCGGGAGGCAAAGTAGATTTAGCTCGCTGTATCATCTTCTCCATCCTCAGGCGCCGTTGCTCCTCTTCCCTGTAAAAAAATACAAATTCAGCAAGGCTGAGCGGCCACATCTACCTCCATGCCCTGCCTTCTTAGCTATCAACCGAATGTAAGACTCACCATTTGTTAACAGCTGGATTCACGTGATACGTTGTCTTTTTCATCTCTACTTACTGTTTTCGCCTTCCAGTGCAATATCCTTATGCTATAAGCACATCATAAAACTTTCTCACAAAACTAGTTAGCAACATAGTTTGGACAGTGCCTTTAGGAACGTGAGTAGCTTTGCCGAAGAAACTCCTTCGTCAACAGTGTAGCGTAGGTACGGCACCTGGAAGGAGCTCGGGACATTAGGCAGCAAGTCCTAAAACTAGACGAATTGTGTTAATGACATAAAACGAAGGCCTTGACGCTTGGCTGCTTTCTGTGTTTTAAGGACTCGCGTCTCGGGCATCCCAACAAAGATCTCTTCTCGTGGTTAACGTTAGCTTGTCGAAATGGATGCAAATGCCCCGTCAACATCTGCTCCTGTGTCTATGGGAACCTCCATCATAGCGGTAACCTTCAACGGTGGCGTCATTCTCGGGGCTGATAGCCGGACGTCAACAGGGAACTATGTTGCAAACCGCGTGACCGACAAGATTACGCCACTTTGCGACAATGTTTATACGTTACGATCGGGGTCAGCGGCGGATACACAGGCGATTGCAGGATATGTGCAGCACTTCATCGCGCAACACCAGGCCGAAGAGGTATGGCCTAACAGGCGTGACCAGTAATTGTTATGAGGCATTTGAGCGGAGGGGAGGAGGGGGGAAAGCTTGTCTCGTTGCTGGAAGACTCCCTACACGAATTGGCGTCAACTGTCGTTGGGAAACAGACGTACGAAGATAGGGACCAAGGGGTCTGGGACTCGCATTTCCCTTGTCCGATCGTTATGGATTCACGCTATAAACCCTACACGACAGGGAGATCATGTAACTGTTAAGACTGCTGCCAACCTCGTTAAGATGATGGCATACAACAACAAGGACATCATGCAAGCAGGCCTCATTGTTGCGGGATTTGACAAGTACGGCGGTGGCCAGGTGCGCCGCATGCTGTGAATGTGGGGGCATTGAGCAGGGTTCTGAGCCACGTGGCTATGGAGCCCTAAATGTCCTGCACGCCTGTATGGCAGGGGCATGATTTTCCTGACGCTAACCGTCTCGGATGGCGACAAGCCCTCTGCACGACGTGCAGTTTGCGAGCTCGTAGCTTGTGGCAGAATGCTTATGTACCAGGTCGCCTGCGTACGGAGCATTACAATGAACTGCCCTTGAGTTTCGTGGCGGACCCGCTGTGCTGCTTTAGATGCTCCTTCTAGATGTACCTCACCGGAGCATGTCCATGCTAGCGCTATGCAAAGACGTTCAACGCTCTTGATCCGTATCTTACCCCCGCTACGGAACAATCTCGTAGGTCTATTCGATTTCGTTGGGCGGTACCATTACGGCGACACCGTTTTCGATGAGCGGCTCTGGCTCCACCTACATCAACGGCTTCTGCGATAAATACTGGCGGGAGAACATGAGCGAGGAGGAGGCCATGGACTTCGTCACGCGGGCCCTTCGTTACGCGATGACCTGGGACGCCAGTTCCGGAGGTTGCATACGGACCGTCACCATCACGGCCGCTGGCACCAAGCGGCAGTTCATCCAGGGCAGCCTCATCCAACCCACCTACGGCGAGCTTCCGCGCGAACAAATCGTTGCCTAGGTCGTGTGGAAAAACAACGTATTGCTGTTTGTCAGGAGAGGAGGTTGCTGACATTGCTCCTGCATAAGTACCCAGCTGTTTTAGGCAGGATGTCTTGGCGGATTTGATGGTAATGCAGCAAGTGTGCAGTCAAGATAGAATTGTCGTCAAGATAGGATTGCTACCGTCCGCGGACAAGTTACACATACGCCATGAAGCGTTCGTGAAGGTTGTATCGAGAGAAGACAGCTTTAACGAGCCAAATTTGTAACACGTGATTGATATTCAGGCTATCAAGATGGCAGTAGCATAACATTCCTCAGCAATAGCATAACATTCCTCACCAAGCAAGCGTTCAACATTCTTCACCAAGCAAGCGTTCCCGTGCTGCTGACACCCATTCAGGGCGCAAAACCACCAAAATCCATCACATCCAAGCAAACCCCTATCTAGCCCTAATGCCATTAAAGGCCTCCTTGTGCCTCAGTTTTCGTCGCGCCGTCCCCTTCAGGGCCCCCGGCTTGTTGGGCCGGTTTCGTGCTGGGCTGTGGGTTGTGTGACAACAGATAGTATGCGAGGAACTCCACAGGGTTGTCTGGCCTCTCCTTGCACAGCGCTTGCATGCCTTGCATAAGCACAGGCACTACCGTAGCCTCCTGCAAAGCCGACATGGGAGTTACCACCCATAACAGCCGCAAACCCGAGCAAGGGTCATACGATGAAACCTGGCAGCCCGTATGCCGTAAGAAGGGAAGGAAATACCCAGCCAACCTTCCCCAACCCCAACTCGCGACCCCAAGTGCCCCTGCTTACCAGATACTGCCTAATTGGCGCAGCTGCAAGATTGATTTTCTTGTGTACACCAACGGCGGCCTTTTCAGCAGCCTTCACCTACGGCGGAGGGGGCATGGTGCACGTCGTATGTGCAAGTTCTAGCCATCGACCCCTACCAGCAATGCACTCACAGCTTCCGGAGTTGTTACTGCCACTGCAGGTAATGAAGCAGCAGGCTGCGTTCCGCTATCCGTCGCAACCGCTGCAAGGATTCCCGCGCGAGAGCGTGAAAAGTTTATTCACATAAACATTCACGTGACACCAATCATACCGTCAGCCATAATCCCTTGCAAGTAGCTTAGAGTGTCTCCTCTGGACGGTGTAGAAGGCGGCACTTCGAATGCAAATGCGTTCTCTTAAGCACTGCCGCTCAATTAGTTTAACTGTTCTACACTTGTGCAAATCTCGAAGAGTAGAAATATGGTATGCTGCGCCAAAAAGTGGTTTAACATTCTACAGGCAAACCATATTGAGAGTACGGCGACAGAGGTATTGTTACCACTTCAAGGCTCTGTGCATTGACCTGACACCGCTACTTAACACCGACACAACAGGGCTAGCGTAGGCTTTCGGCAAGATTCAGGCAGTCGCAGCGTCTGCTGCACGGTGCTTGTTCCGCATTAGAGCGGCACGTGCGTTCGCTGACAAGTCATTCTTAAGCAGAATGTCCGAGGCCGGGGTTGCAAATCTGTCCATTGAGGCGAGTGATGTCCAGCTCGATCGTCGCCTTCTGTCGGCGGCAGTTTTGAATGCGTAGCTTCCACGACGTCACACGTCGGTTACAGTTCTGCCCCTATAATGAATAAATCTCATACCCGTTGGCCCAGCAGGACTCGCAGTCCAGCGTGGCGTCCACGGCAACCGCTGATGCAAAGAAAGCAGCGAAGGAGGCCGCAAAGGCTGCTAAGGAGGCTGCCAAAGCAGAGCGCGTAAGTAATCGATGGGGAAACCTCTGGCGGCACTGGCGCAGTGGGCAGTATGACAGCGCCCTTACGCGGCACGCCGGGTCCAGCACCGGGAGGCTTTGGAACGTGTCGTGGGCCCAGAGTTCAAGCCATTCACGTCGATGTCTGGGACGGGGCCTGTTGCGAGGCATGCTAGCCCCTTGTGCTACCCTACGATTGTCCGACGCCGGCACCGCGCCCCACAGCGGTCACGCACTGCCGCTTCTGGCCATGTGCGTGTTTCGATTGTGTGCGCCTTTGTCCGCCTGTGCGTGTTAACAGGCCCAGCAGCGCGGTGTCAAGGCGGCTGTCATGACTCAACCGGACCCCGAGGACCCCCTTCGCGAGCAGTACGGCGATTACCCCATGGTGCAAAGCCGTGAGCAAAGCAGCCGTGTATGGACCAAGGTGGAGAGCCTAGGCAAAGACCTCAGCGAGCAGAAGGTGAGAAGGTGATGACGGAGAGCTGGCCACAGGGATTCCTCACACGGGGCACAGGACCGACCGACCGCCGCCCGTTATACACACATGCAGCAGGGTAGGTAGCCCTCGTAGGAATAGTTGTATGTATGGCTGTATCGGCTCGGTAAGGTGAGCTGCGGTAAGACGACATAAGGTACTTCCGTATCCGGACATACCTTCTTGATTACCCTAGCTATCTTCCCACCGGGAACATAATTACCTCAACTCCGTCCTCTGCGGCCAGGGCGCATCTCCCGCGTCAGCCCTTGTGACTGTCCGCATAAGCCTGTGTGCATTCCGCCCGCTTCAGGTCTTGGTCCGCGCCCGCGTCCACACCACCCGGGGGAAGGGCAAGTCCGCGTTCCTGGTCCTGCGGCAGCGCACCGCCACTGTGCAGGTGGGCGGGGGGGGAGGGGTCATGCCCTTCATGGCCTTGTAGGGTCTTCTTATCCGGTTGATGCCTAATCGGTTAGCTCGAGGTGGAAGTCCGGCAGCTTGATGAGGACGCGGGGCCCCAGGGCCACTGATGGCACCAGTGGAATGTGTCTTAGGGCCCACCGCTTGGCCGTCTGGCGCCTGTTCCCAGGATGCAGCCCCCCCTTGGTGTCCCTTCTGCGGATTGAGCGCCCTTGCCTGCACCCTTGAGGGGGGGTTGGTCGCTTCACGGGGACCCTCCCCCCGGACCAGCGACCCGGGCCAGGGGTGTGTGCCGCGGGTCCTCCCGCCGCCATCGCCGCGCAATCAGTGCGCTTTCTGACCGCCGGGCCCTGCGGCCCCCGCTTGTCCTGTTCCCATCAGGCGGTGCTGTTCGCCGACGATGTGACCGTAAGCAAAGGCATGGTCAAGTACGCGACACAGATCCCGAAGGAGTCCATCGTGGATTTGGAGGGCGTCGTGAAGGTGCCGGAGAAGCCCATTGAGGGCTGCTCGCAGAAAGACGTGAGGAAGGGGGCCCGGACAGCGGCCGTGGGGGGGTGCTCGGACGCGCGGGCCTCAGGGGGGGGTTGCGCTGCCCTCTGTTCCTCGCAAATGCGTTTTCTCTTGCAAGCCGGTGGTGAATAACGGCCACCCTTAAACCGTCAAGCGCCTAGCTTACGGACGTGCGGATTACATTACGTGTTTTCTTCAGTGGACAGGGGGGTAAATCTTAACTCGTGGCTTTACCCGTGGCGGGTCTCGTACCTGGAGCCCACTTCTGTGTCGCACTCAGTGTCGTACTCAGAATCAGTGGCCGCCACCAGCTGACCAGCAGCATACCCTCCCTAAAGTACCGTCAACGGTGACGTCAACACGGTCAAACTCCTGGCTGGAGCCCATTCACGGAGTCCTTCACCGTCCTTCATGGCTGGAAGCGGACTCACTATTAGGCCCACTACGCTGCCTGGAGGACTATTTGCAAATCCTGCGGCGGAGCTAAAACACGTCCTGCTGCGGTATCGTGCGGTGACTCTTACCTACATACATACAGTTGCACGTGACTTCACTTCACTTCACTTCTCGCCCGCTCTCTGGACCAGGGCCCACTGCTTGCGTCTTGCGTGGTGACGTAATCCCCCTCCGGCTCGTTTCCACGATGTCCCTCCCCTCGTCGAGCAGGTCGAGCTCCAAGTGACGGGAATCCGCACTGTCAGCCGCGCAGCAACGCTGCCGTTTGAGCTGGTGGACGCCTCGCGCTCGGAGGTGGGTGCAGGCAGAGAGAGAACATTGCGGCCTCGGAGCGTCCTTCCGCATCTAACATAACCTTGTTACGCTGCTGTCTGCCTGCCTGCCCGTCTGCCCGCCCCAGGAGGAGGTCAAGGCCGCTGCCGAGCGGGGAGAGATTCTGCCCACTGTGGGTCAGGACCTGCGCCTGGACAACCGCTTCCTCGACCTCCGCACGCCCGCAAACCAGGCCATCTTCCGGGTGCAGAGCGCCGTGTGCCAGGTAGGGACTTGGGCGTACTGTGTCCTAGGGGGGGGGAGGCATATAAAGGGGGGGATCGAGGAGAAAGCGACTGCGTCAGGGGGGCGAGGCGGTTTGGTTAGCAGTGACGGGTGTCCCGCGGGTCGCACTCCCTCCGCAACAAACCCGGTTACCCGGTACCGCAACGCGTCAGGTGCCGACCGCGCGGATATGCTCGTCATGTGGTGCCCACGATGGAATCCGATTGAGGATCCGAATTTGAATCTCCCGCCCGTGGATTGCGCTTTAAAGCTTGTGTGAAGTCTGCCGTTATGTGTGGGCTCGTGAAGGCGGACTCGTTGATGTCTCCCTCCCCCCTCCCGTTCCCTCCTCCCGTCCCGCTGTCGCCTGTCGCGCGGAGCGGCTCGTCAGATTTTCAAGAACACGTTGCTGGCGGAGGGTTTCCAGGAGATCCACACTCCCAAGCTGATTGCCGGCGCCTCCGAGGGCGGTGCTGCTGTGTTCCGGCTGGACTACATGGGGGTGCCCGCCTGCCTGGCGCAGTCGCCGCAGCTGTACAAGCAGATGGCCATCTGTGCCGACTTTGACCGCGTCTTCGAGGTCGGCCCCGTCTTCAGGTGGGCCCCGGGCTGGTGATGCTCGGGTGGGGTAGCTGCGGCCCGCACTGCGGCCCGTCCGTAAGTAGGAAGGATTGGGGGCGAAATCGGTTCTTTCTGGGGTGGATTGGGTGCCTTCGTTTTTAAGAGATTTGGGAGCGTATTCATTCGTGTTCTGTGACTGCTTTGGGCCGAGGACCGCAGGGCTGAGTTTAGCTACACTCACCGCCACCTGTGCGAGTTCATGGGCCTGGACCTGGAGATGGCCATCCACGAACACTACTTTGAGGTGCTGGACGTCATTGAGAAGCTCTTTGCGGCCATTTTTGACGGCCTGTCTACCGAATACGGTGAGTCCATGGATGGTGGATGGTCAACCCTCCCCCGGTTGGGTGGGAGAGGGCGCTGTGTTTGCGGTCGATGACAACACAGCATTTGGCGCTGGTCTGTGACGATGGAGTCTGAGGGCCGATCGTCTGTCGCACTGGCCTCGTCATAGTCATGAATAGTGTTGAATGGACTGCAGATTTCCAAACCCCGCAAGTTGGTGGGGCCTCGAGGACGCACCATCAGCTGTACCATTAGCACCAGGCCCCTCGTTAACATCAGGGCTTTAGGCTGCCCTTTGACTCCTTATGACCACTCCATTCCTCCTGTGCCGCTGTGTTATATTGGGACAACTCGGCTAAAAGTAGGGGCGGTGTTGTTGCCCCGCGCCTCTCCCCCCCCTCCCGCAATGTCCCCTATTTGCCCGCAACGGTCGCAGCCAAGGAGCTGGCGGTTATCGCCCAGCAGTACCCGTTCGACGTGCCCACCTTCAAGCCCCTCCGCCTGACCTTCCCCGAGGGCATCGCGCTGCTGCAGCAGGGCGGCTACCCGGAGGTGGACCCCTTGGGTGACCTCAACACAGAGCTGGAACGCGCGCTTGGGAAGATTGTAAAGGAGAAGTACGGCACCGATTTTTTCATTCTTCACAGGTGCGTTGCTGCGTTGGGAAGGACAAGTGCTCTGTCGTGTTTATGTTGCCGGATTGATTAGCAATAGTAGTGCTGTCTATTCCACACTCGTTGCCAGCACACTGTCCGGACTGCGCCGCCAGCGGTCCCCGCTCGCTCCCTGCTGTGCGGCCATCTGGGCCAGCTAAGCGGTGATCAGGCAGCTGGTGGATGTGGGGTATCTTCGTTTGCGGCGTATCCGTTTACGTTATCCGCGCTCGTGAAGGGGCTCATGAACGTCCTGTTTGGGTGTGTATTGGCCGTAGGTACCCGTCAGCGGTGCGTCCGTTCTACACCATGCCCTGTGCGGACGACCCCACGTACTCGAACTCCTACGACGTGTTCATCCGGGGAGAGGAAATCATCAGCGGTGCGCAGCGGGTGCACGACGCTGAGCTGCTCACAGGTCAGTCACCCGGCTCACGGGTCTAGGTCCCCTGGCTGCTGTGACAGGCGGCTAGAGGGCCAGGCATAGATGCAACAAGGTCGCGCACCGGGGATAAGGGCTGATGGCCGAGAAAATGAAAACAAATAAATAGCATGAGGTGTCGAACTTCGGAGATGTAGTGCACAGTTAACAACGGGGGGTTGTTAGCAGAGGAGAAAAACTTCTAGGGTTGGAAGGTTGTTGGGGGAGGTCCTAAGGGGATTCGGTTATAGATGAGAAGGATGGACCAGAGCAGAGGGAGTGCATAGCTGTACACGACACTGCGGCCTGCTTTGACTAGCCGCTTGAAACGTATTTTGTGCCAACTGACTAACTGTCGATCCCACTTTGCAGACAGCAATTCAGGCGACGTGTTGCAAAGCCATCTTGAGCCACCTGCACTCTTTGCCGCCTTCCACCCTACTAATGGTGTGTGCCTGTGCGCCCTACGGCCCGTCCCGCGGTTCTGCAGAGCGGGCTACGGCATGTGGCATCCCCTTGGACACCATCCAGTCGTACATCGACAGCTTCAAGCTGGGAGCGCCGCCTCACGGTGGCGCGGGTGTGGGCTTGGAGCGCGTTGTGATGCTGTACTGCGGCCTGAACAACATCCGCAAGACGTCCATGTTCCCGCGCGACCCCAAGCGCCTGACTCCGTGAGCTCCTCCTCAGGGGGGAGCTCCCTTGCTGGCGCCGTCCTTAAGCCTCAAGTCTTGAGGTATAATGCCGCCTCTATCCTAAATCCAAGCGTACTTTTATGGTACTGGCAGGATGCTGTATAAGGGCACTCAGTGGTGTCTCAGCATGCGAACGGCGCGCTCGTTTGCTTAGGCCCCACCTCGAGAAGCGAATGGACGCCTACTGGGCGTAAGAGCGCTGAGGGGAGAACGTCTGTGTTGAGTGAGGCATGCAGGAGGGGTGTGCGAGTATGCGAGTTAAGGAGTCGTGTTGGCAGGGGGCTGCGGCGGGTGGGCCCAATGCTAGTTGTAGTTATGCAATGGTGGCAGGACGTGGCCTTCATTCACGTGGCCTAGCGCACTGCTAACCGGCAACATAGAACCTCGTGAAGCTCAGCCGCGTGTTACTTCGCTGACCTGCTGGCGGGACGGATGAGCACACCGCGCTGTGGTGTTCATGGCAGTGACTGCGATAGTTATTATAGTGCGAATGGGCACATGCGGCTGCATGCTGGGGTATTTTTTGTCCTGGTTCCGATTCCCTTTCGTGAGGTTGCGTTCTTTGGGGGGTTCTGCGTGGTCCGGTTTGTACTCACCGTGGTGTGGTGCTTTCGGGTCCTCTTTTCTTTTTCCTCTCCCACGTGTAACCGGCCTCACGAAGCGAAGGAAAAGAACGCAGCAACGGGCACAGTCAACTTCTGGCTCATCTACCGCCGGCGCAACCAAACCAAAACTTAAGAGAACCGCCAGCTATCCATAACTTAAATCAACACTTTTTTCACTTTATTCAGAGCAACTCCTTGAGACTCAAGAACAGACTCTTCCGTCCGTGTGTGGCGTAGAAAGGCGAAAAAAAGTGCAGTGGCACCTTGGTCTATTGGTAACAACATAACCTAACAGGCTTAGGCTTAGGTCGTCGGGAGCCGTTCGCCTTCCTAACCACACACATAAAGCAAAACTGTACGGCATAAGTGTATGACTAATCTGCGAGGCGCAAGACAAGACGCTGCCGGTAAGGTGAGAAAGGAAGAAGGCCTTAACGGCAGAACGTCGTACAGCAGTGCTTGGTCTAACCTACGTATCGATTTATTATATATCCAGTCAGGAGCGGGGAGATACACGGGCGGGCGGGGGGGAACTTTAGCATCCTTTGGGGTCCGGCTGGCTGCTGCAACGTTGGTGGCCTAGCTGCTCTTCCCCCACCAGCTGCTGGAGCCGACCCGGTGGCTAGAAGACCGCTGCAGCCTTTCCGGGCACCGGGACTCCCTCCTTCCTCTTTCCTCCTTCCACGTGGAGGAATAGATACCACATTCATTAGCCAGACAGTCATGGGAGGGCGGTGAGGGCGCTCCAAGACCACTCACAGCGGCCACCTCCTTACACCTCCCGCCCACACCACCACCATTTCAACAGCCGCCACACGCCGTCCTCCCGCCACCACAAACTCACCAATTACATTACATAGAGGTTTTCAACCTCCCCCCTCTCCCACCACCCCGCATTCATCGTTCAAATCAATCACCCCCACAACCCCCCTGTAGCACCACCACCACCGCCAGGACACCCAATAGGCACACGCGCTACGACTACTGTACCAGCTGCCCCCTGTCGTACAACCGTCGCTTCTCGGCATCCTTGAGCGTGTCGTACGCTATCTGCAGCTTCTGGAATTTGACCAGCGCCGTGCGCTGCACCTCCGGCTCTGCACCCACGTGCTTGTCTGGGTGCAGCTGCAGCGCCTGCACCTTGAAGGCCTGCTTGATGTCCTCCGAGGAAACGGCATCTGAGAGGGAAGGGAGGACGAGGGGGAGGTGAGAGGAAGAGGAGGGAAAGAGGAGGAAAGCGCAACAAGCACACAGACATACGGCAGGCGGCTGGCAGAGGTTAAGGCCTGACTTCTGCTCCCGGCTGACCCGGGTTCAAATCCGCCTGCTGGCTCCTCGGGTGTTTGAGGAGTGATGAAATGGGAGGTGGCCCCCCATCGTATGGACGATGTAGGACGTGATAAATTCAACTTGCGAGCTGGCCAGGAACTAAGTTGATGCGCCGTTGATCCGCTAAATTTGGTTGGATGCTGGTGGTGAGTTGCCAAACCCAACGAATACATTCTGAAGTCGGATGGGGTGACGGATTAGGGTGCCCCTCTCGCAGGGGAGAGCAGGGACTGCCTCGGGAAAGGGGGCCTCTGGCGAAGTTAACCACCCTGTAACAACATACATACGGCAGGGTGCCGAAAGAGCGGAGCCGGTCCATCCCCGCTTGAAGCGCCCGTCATGTCGTCATGTCGTCATGTCGTGTCAGTAGACGGGGGGCCCTCACTCAGGGAGGGGGGGAGACGTCAGCCCGACTGGGCCTGGGGGCCCCCCTCCTGCCCCCCCTCCTGCCCACTCCTGCCCCCCGCGGGTCGGGTCGGGTCGAGTGCGCCCCGGCGGCCCCCCCACCTCCCTCACCTGCGTCCTGCAGCCCCAGCACCCGGTAGTAGCCAAGGAAGTCGGACCGCCCTCGCCGCCGCCGGCCCCCGGAGGAGCCCCAAGAGCCCTCCTCCTCCCCCGCCTCAGAGCCCCCACCACCACCACCACCGCTGCTGCTGCTGTCCCCCAGGCCCATGCCGTGATCCCGGGGCCTGTGGCGGCTGTAGCTGCTCCGCGCACCGCCACCGTATTTCTGCTGCCGCCGCGCCTCCGCCTCCTCCTCCGCCGCCCGCCGCTGTTCCTCCGCCGCCATTCGCTCCGCAAACCTCTGTCGCTCCAGCCGCCGAGTGGCCTGCTTGCGCCATAGCTCCTCAGCCCTGCGGATAGACAGACAGACAGACAGACGGACGTCGCACTTTCAGCCCTGGTGTTGGCTTGCTTCGTGGGTGCTGGGGGCCCAATCCGACAAGGCATTGGCACCAAGGAAGGAAGAAAGGAGGCAGCAGCTCCCGCACCACCCCCCACCCTACACACGTCGCCGTGTATGATACGGGTCCCAACTCCCCGTCCACCCCCGCCCCTCATCCGCCACCCTCATCCGCCACCTTCATCCGCCACCCTCATCCGCCACCCACCACTTCCGCCGCTCCTCCTCGCCCCAGTTCCAGGGCTCGTCCAGCTCCCACCTCCGCCAGTCCGCATCCGCCCACAACCACAGCACGTAGTCGCCATCGTCATCGGGAAGGGGACGGCTGCCTGGCACGTCAGAGGCCTTGGCAGACGCCGCACCACTGCCGTACGTCTCATGGAGGTCGTATTTTTTGTAGAACTCGAAGTCCGCGCGGACCTGCTTGGCTGCGTGTAGGGCTCTCAGGGACTGGGGCCGCTGATGCGCCCACAGACCTGTGCCGGTGGGGGGGGGGAGGGGAGGGGGGAGGGGGAGGGGAGGGGAAGGGGAGTAATGGGACTGGAGAGGTTTGTTAGTTAGCGCCAGGTACACCGCTGGTGGCTTCGGAGCTTGGCTCGGCAACCAAGTTATTCTTTGCATATACACACAAACACACACACAGGGACACGCGGTCACACCGGTCGTGTTTCCACCCGTCCCTGATCCCCGGGGCCCCCCCCCCTGGGACCTCCAACCCCCCAATAAACCCAAATACCCCCCCGCTTTCCTCCTCCTCCCCCGACCGCACACCACCC